TGTGAAAGGTAAACCCTCTTTGCGAAGAGGATTTTTGATATCGAGCCATTCCTTGAAGAGGGTCGTTCGTTGCATCATATGATCGTTGTACAGCTGATCACCACCTCCAAGCATGACATGAAATGGTTGTGTTTGATGGGTATTCAGAACATCTCTCCACAAAGGATCGGGTCCACTAAAGTCATTTGGGTGAACATCCATGGTGAAGCCGTTACAGCTATAGAACATTATATTCATCGCTTGCCCACGAGCTGGAACCCAAAAACCGGTAGCTGGGCCACGATTGATCCGATAAGCAATCCTTTGTTGCTTGCTGCGCAACTCTACTTCAATGTTAAATCTCCAGAAAGTGAACCCCTTGTCTGCATGCAAACGAAAACCTCGCACTTCTTTAAACTTCCCAGCCTTTTCTCCATCATATTGCTGTACCTTGCGTGCCCGTTTTGCGTCTGCGCCTCCATCAAGATTGCTTCGATGTGACTCAAATAATCCTTCATCTGTTTCGATCTTTGAGAGATCTTGCTCTTCTGGAAGATGCTCAACAGGACGAGTGTAGAGCGTCCGACCATCTCGTCCAATCTTAGTCATTCCTGCGATAGGGTCAATATATTCTGGAGCTAGGTCTTGACCATCGACTTGTGCTGGCGGCGGTGGCATCAAATCCACAGGCTGCAAAAACAGTCTTAGTGTTGGAGCAAGTTCGTAGGATGAACTTGAGTCCTGAGTTACAATCATGACACTTCCTCTCCAGACTTCACGTTCTGGTAAAGGACCACGAGCCACTGAACGACTGGATGTCTTTTCAGTACGTATGCCATGGTAACGTAGTAGTGGCCCGCACTTTAGGAATAGAGGTGGTTTGAATCTAGTAGGAGCTATATCGGGACGAACGCGGATGACCCGCATTGCGCATGTTAGCGAATGGTCTGGAGTAGGGGGGGTAGAAGGGGATTTCTGCTTGTCAGATGATTGATTCGCAGCAATCACTTTGCTCGCATAACCAGATTTGTGTTTTGGTCGTAACTTAACAAATCCAGTAGAGCTGCGAGTTTTAGATGATAGATGCTGCTCAGCAATGCAACCGGCACAGTCTTCCATGGAACCAAAAGCTAAAGGTACTGTACCATTATTGTCATCATATTCCCCGTCATACGCTTCAGCCTTCTTCTGTTTGACAGAGCGTTTCCTGCTGGGACCAGATTCCCACCACGCCCCCTCCGGACCGATGTCACTTTCACTTGCTTCGTCATCAAGATCTAACAAAGCACCTGCCAGCAAAGCTTTCTCGCCCTTCTTCCACTCAGTAAGTCGTTGCGAGGGAGCATATAATCCTTTCCCTGGCTCGTAGTTATGATGATGATGAAAGATTTCACTAAGATTGTGATGGTTGTGATGATGATGATGATGCTCCTCTTGATCAATGGGACCATCACCAGCTAAAGGTGGATATGTGTGATCTTTTGAAGAGATAGAACTTGTTTTCCGATCGTATTTGACAGATGACGAATGCTTTAAAGATTGATTCTGCCCAGTCAATTGCTCCATCTTTCGTTTGGATCCTCGCCTAAAGGAGATACCCCTCGTCTCTTCTTCGGAGTCGAACGGAGACTCGTCACGAAACTCTGGTTCACGAACCGGCAGATTTCTAGATGAAATGGGTTCTGTTGCTCTCCGAGGAAGTGGCAGAGCTTGTTGCCCCGCTGCAAGACTAGGTAGCACGTCGTCCTCAGGTTGCCTGTCAGTCCCACTCTGGCGTCGGCTCCAATGATCTGGCGGTGGATCTTTTCTCAATTTATTGCTTTTGCTTCGATAAAGAGGGCCAGAAGTTTCCACAGCAGCTGCAGTTCCAACCACTATTGGTAAACCAGACTTTTGCTTTTTACTGGATGTGCGCTGTGGGATTGAACTGCTCTCGATATCGCGACTAGAAACGGGACTCCTTTCCTGGATAACACCAATTGGAGGTGATTTATGAGTAATTGGTATCCTTTCCAGGACAGATCCACTGCGTGTGAAGCTTTCTTGTGATTTAATACTTGAAGTCCGCGGAAGGCTTTCTGCGACAACCGGTCGTCTCTCTGGTTGCAAACCACCTTCGGGAGCTTTGGCAACTGGTCGATTTCTGAAGTGGACGGTGTTTTGTGTGGGCTGCTCAACAGTGCGTGTAGGCTTTCCTTCTTTTTCTTTGATTACTCGCTCGGCTTCTTCTACACGTGCTCGCTTCTCCTCTTTTGTGATGCTGTCAAGGGTCAATTCCAATCTTTGTAAAGGAGACCTGTCTGATGCCCACTCCTTCCGTCGTTGGACCTCTGCCGCTTCAGAATATGAAGCTTTTCTAGTATGTGTATCAGAAGCCTGGCTGCGCCTAGGCCGTTCTCCACTTGATGTATGCCCTCCTCTGCGCGAGTAGCCCTTACCGTCGCCTCTACCAGTTGTATTAGATCTTTGAACGGTGTCTCTTTCACTGATAGGAGAAGATGTGCCAAGGACTTCCCAGTTCGTTTCCTGAGATTTTATAGTATCGGCACCATCCGATTTGCGAGCTGGCCTCGATCTCGCTGGAGTTTGATCCGCGAACAATGGTCCACTAGCCACGGGCTCGTTATAGCTACCTGATGGAGGTGCTCCAGATTTATTCGCAGCAACTGGCGGAGAAATAGCCTGGTTGAATTCGCGTAGGTTGTCCTTGTTCCGACTTTCTCCACGCCTTCTCCTCTTCTCTAAGTAATCGTTATCGTAGGATGTGCTGGGAGTATCGTATGGGAATGGTGGAGGTCGAGGGGCTAGACCATCTCCCCGAAACGTTGAAGCAGCTGGAGAAGCAAATGGACTTTGTGTAGATATCGTAGGAGCTTCTGTTTGTGTCGATTCTCGATTGCGTCTTGGATCTTGAGAGGCAAGTCGGTCTTTTTTGTATCAACAGATAGACTGTTCTTTCTTGAATTTGGATCTGCAGCAGAGCCAATTGAGCCTTGCCTTGAGACTTTTGGAGGAGGCAGCTGCCCCCAATATGGTGCTGCCATTCTTTTCGAGACTAAGACGAATACTCCTGCCTTGCAATTTCAGACAAGTCGGTGTCAAAATGAACCTTTAAAGTTTTCTAGAGATCAAAGGATAATATTTCTGTGAGAATCACTATTCAATCCTATGTTCACAAAGTGGGATTCAAAGACGATATCTTTGTTGGTTGTGTATTGAAGTTTGTGAGCTGATAGTTTATCTTCACTGCCGTCATCAAATTATCCTTACTCGAGGTTTGCGCCGGGTATATCAGTGAAGGCACGATTTTGGAGCTCACTCGAAATGGAATAACATGATTAGCGCGAGATGCGGATGGATAGCAAGAGCAAGAGAATATGCAAACCGCAGGATCTGATAAAATAAGGATTGAATCGATGGTGAGAAATCGCGGAGGCTGGGTATCACAACATTCACTCACCTTAGGCCTCTTGTTCTATCAAATACCTCGTTCTTTTTTTTCCTTTCCATGGCAGAGTTCACCAAAACCCTTGGAAATCCCGGCATTAGCGGTAAAAGGGCTTGCATACAATTTGGACTGCTGCTTTGGAGAATGACTAGGTTGGCACAGATCAATTGGATAACACGAAGACACGAAGGTGCGAAAGACGACGAAATCGAGGGAGCTCATCCAGGGTTTTTCAAGGGTCGGGTTGAGGTTGGACAGCGTTAGTGTGAAGCAGTTCGTTGAAAAGCGGCATGAAGAGGATGTATGTATGTGATTGTGGATGCCATTGAACCAAGCTAGCGTGCGAAACATGACTCTGGCATGTAGGTACCGGCGGAAGATGTCGAAATGGACAGTTCCTGTGTGAGAGAAAGAATTGATGTAAGTCGTGAGATCTTATCATGTATGTGAAGCATTGAAGATTTACGATGAGGGGGTGGAACAGTTGAAACCTCAGTATCTCACGCGCCTCAACTCGATTTTGCTTAAGCATATTCATGCCCCACACGACGAGACTACCTCCTATCGCGATAATGTATGGAAGGATGGAAGGATGGAACAAGGCATGTACTAGATAAGTTATGAGAGTGGTGTAATGTAAAGCCTTGAAGATAATGATGAGATGAGGGGGGAAACTCTCGAACATACAGCTCGAATGCTTGCTGTCCTACTCAGATTCTGGAAATGTAGATATGAGGAATCTAGCTGTGTATATGTACTAGTTAGATGCATTAGATGTCTTAAAGTGACGGCGACTGAGCCAGTCATGCTTGTTTTTATTCCTGTCTTGACTCTTGTACCTGATAGAAGCATCCTTTCTCTGATATATGTATATGTATGGATTTGAGTTTAAGGGACCAAGGACTCTAGGGCTATCTTGGCTTGGTTTGAATATATGCTGAAGTCGGAGTTGGGCAGAAGATTGAATTTGATGATTACATGCTCGAGTATAACGTACCTATACACAGGTACTTTTATATGTATAAATATCTATATACAAATCCCTATAACGTGTTTTATCAGTGAGTGGTTCATATCAGTGAATGGGTCATTTCGAAAATCACCTAAATCAAGCTTCTTAAAATATTAATATTTTAATAATCAATCATTATTTTCTTGAATAAAAGATCTTAAAAAATAATTAAAATCTAGATTTTCTATTGATCTAATTTTTATAAAATAGTTTTATCATTTTCTAAAAAAAAAAGGAAATTGTCACGATTTTCGTTACAAAAAAACTATTTTTATAATAACAACTTTATAAATTCGAATTTCCTAAAATTAATTAGATTTTTGAGATTCTTATATATTCAAGTATTTTGTATCAAATTTTCAGAAAATTATATCCATAAATAAAGAAAGTGCACGGTTACGCACAGACGAATTTTGTATGTAAAATAAGTGACCCATTCACTGATATGAACCACTCACTGATAAAACACGTTATACAAATCCCTATATATAAATCCCTATATATATCTTCGCAGGCGCAGCTGAAGCTGGATATTATCTGCGTACAGATTATATACACACTAGCTCTTACTATATTTATTATCAAAATATCATTCATGAAACATCGTAACAAATAATCATTTCTCTTCCGTCCCCAATGCGAGTAGAAATCCGTGCAGAAAGTACACCGTCTCAAGACCGTCTCTACTCCATACTAGCTACCCAGGGAATCCATCGAAAATCCATAACATCGTATCGCCCATTTGGTTTCCGATCTTCCATCCTAATCCTGCTCGACGTTCTGATCCTATCCCAGAAGGCCCAAGGGTACGGGGACTAAAAAGCTGCCTCTGTGAAGTATCTACCTATCTATCTACCTACCAACCCACCACGCCCATCTCCCGCTCCAAAGCTAAAGCTACTACCACGACCCTCCTCATCTAGGATTAATAAGAACACCAACCTAGAACAACTGCGAAACATCAAAGAAGTCAAAACGTGAGGGATCGCCATCACATCAAACCTAAAAGTCATTTGTCCATTTGCTTATTGATTCCCTTATTTATTTAATCCCATCCCATACCTCCTCACGGAGAATTCACACAAGTCTCCTACACCATTTCTCCTCTTTCTCTCGTCTTCACGTTACTCGCGGCACGGCACATCACATCGATCCTTTGTGGCGAAGATAAATCATTCATTGCATTGCGTCTTGCTTACTTTGCATCCCTCGGCACTCCGTAGTAAAGTAAGAAGGTTACGCTACGCTGCGCACCGCTGCGCTTGATACCACCTAATCAATAACCCAACTGGACTTGCGAGTCCTTTGTTCTTTCAATTGAACACTTTATTGTTACACGTCCAATAATTTATTTGGCGTTATTAGTCGAGATTGGAAAGAGGAAAGATTGTCATCCATGCGACACCGTTAAGACATTCCGTTTGACTATAATTACTCTCGGGGTGTGAAGGGATTTTGATCATCAATTCAGCGTCGAAACTCGCGACGTTATAACACGACATGAAATTACACACACTCATCGGCCTATTTGGTCTGGGGGTTTTGGCAAATGCTGTAAATTTACGCCCACGAAATTATGATGCTCAAGATTACTACGTCCTACATCTCGATTCGACCGCAGATCCAGTACAAGTCGCAGGGAGACTGGGCTTAACTCACGATGGCCAACTGGGAGAGTTGGAGGATCACCACGTTTTCTCAACGCACAAGCAAGACGAAGATGTTGTGCATACAGCTTTGAAGATGCGGAAGAGACGGAAGCGGGAGCTGCGCGACTTTGATATTCTGGATACCGTGCGGTATGCTCAAAAACAAAAGTTGAAGGCTAGAATGGAGAAGAGAGGTTTAATGCGGCCCGCGCCTGAAGGATACGAAGTCGATAAACGAAAAGATACCACACCACCGGTCGATGCCGCGGTTGCGAAACAACAAGCCGTCCAAAAGGCGTTGGGAATTCAAGATCCAATATTCAAAGATCAATGGCATTTGTATAATCCAGTACAAGTCGGACACGATGTAAATGTGACCGATGTATGGATGCAGAATATCACTGGTACAGGCTCAATTGTCGCCATCGTGGATGATGGGTTAGACATGTACAGCAATGATTTGAAGCCCAATTACTACGCTGAAGGGTCATACGATTTCAACGAGAATACTCTAGAGCCAAAACCTCGATTATCAGATGATAAGCATGGTACACGATGTGCTGGTGAAGTTTCCGCTGCCAAGAACGATGTTTGTGGTGTCGGAGTTGCCTACGATTCGAAAATTGCTGGAATTCGTATTTTATCCAAGATGATTACAGATGCCGATGAAGCCGTCGCCATGAATTACGCATATCAGCACAATCAGATTTATTCTTGCTCGTGGGGTCCTCCTGATGACGGAAGATCGATGGACGCTCCAGGTATACTCATCAAAAGGGCTATGGTAAATGCAGTTCAAAAAGGACGTGGTGGATTAGGCTCAATCTATGTGTTTGCATCCGGGAATGGCGCCGCAAACGAAGACAATTGTAATTTTGATGGTTATACCAACAGTATTTACAGTATCACTGTTGGAGCGATCGATAGAAAGGGTCTACACCCATATTATTCAGAGAAGTGTTCTGCTCAGCTCGTAGTAACATACAGTAGTGGAAGTGGAGATTCCATTGTAAGTTTTATCCCCAATTTACATGAAACAAAGACTAACCATGCTATACAGCACACAACTGACGTTGGTACAAACGCTTGTTCTGATGCACATGGTGGTACTTCCGCTGCTGCACCTCTAGCAGCAGGAATTTTTGCTTTAGTTTTGCAAATCCGACCAGATCTCAGCTGGAGGGATATGCAATACCTCGTCATGTCAACTGCTTTACCGGTCGATCTTGACAGTGGTGAATGGCAAACAACAACTATTGGAAAGAAATTCAGTCATACTTTTGGATACGGAAAGATTGATACCTGGGCCACAATCGAAGCCGCAAAAGATTTCAAGAATGTCAAGCCTCAAGCTTGGTTTTATTCTCCTTGGATTCATGTCAATCAAGCCATTCCTCAAGGAGATGATGGTATCTCGGTTTCCTTCGAAGTTACCAAAGAAATGTTACAAGAAGCAAACCTGGAGAGATTGGAGCATGTACAAGTTACAATGAACATTGCACACACTAAGCGAGGAGATTTGAGCGTCGACTTGGTCAGTCCAGACAAGCTAGTTAGCCATCTTTCTGCATCACGACGTTATGATTCTGAGCCCGAGGGATATGACGATTGGACTTTCATGTCTGTCGTTCATTGGTAAATATTATTATCCAAGACCAATTTGTAACACTTTACTAACAAGTACATAGGGGTGAATCTGGTATTGGAACTTGGACCATCACTGTCAGAGATGCTTTCGTCAACGAACACAACGGAACTTTCACGGATTGGCATCTCAAATTATGGGGAGAGTCCATCGATGCCGAAAAAGCACTCGTACTTCCAATGCCTACTGAACATGACGATGATAATCACGCCGAGATCGCTACAACTACTATTGCCGGAGTCACATCAGCCGCAACAGCAGCTCCAACCAACCCCGCAGCCCCAACCGGTGAACTCCCAAGTGTTCCATCTGACCACCCCGATAGACCTATCAACGCCAAGCCTTCAGGTACAGAGGATGAGCTAACCTCTCCTACCTCCACTGCACCCGCAGAATCAGAGACTACTACTCCCTCAACATGGATTCCTTCTTTCCTCCCCACCTTCGGCGTCTCTTCCAAAACCCAGATCTGGATCTATGGTGCTTTGGGTCTCATCGCCACTTTCTGTGCAGGCCTAGGTGTATACCTCTACATGGCGCGCCGCAAGCGTCTTCGCAACAACCCAAGAGACGAATGGGAATTCGATCTCCTCGAGGATGATGAAGCGGAAGCGTTAGCTGGTAATACTGAAATGAGTATGAAGAAGGGAGGAAAGAGGAGAGCGGGTGAGCTTTATGATGCATTTGCTGCGGGCAGTGATGATGAAGATGATGAGTATAGAGATGGGGGTGATGAGAGAGAAAAGAAATTGTATGCGGATGATGGAGAGAGTGAGGGGACGAGTAGCGGAAGTGGACATCATGTTGTTGGGGACGATGACGAGGATAGTGATGATGAGAGCGCAGTCAATGTGAAGGATGAGAAAAACCCTTTGAATAAGTGATGGAATTGTTATATAGGTTGTGGGTAGTAAGCAGTATTGTTGTAGGAAATTCAGCATGGTGTTAGAAAAATGAAATGAAATGGATTGGAAGGCATACTTTTTTGAATATCAGAAAAAGAATAAAAGAACTGAACTGAACTGAACTGAACGATTGGTATTTGAAAATTGAGTAGAGAGATATTGGGTGGTGGGTTGATGGGCTTGTTGGTTTGCATGTATGGATGGTTATAATTGGCGTTTTGTTTTTGTGGGATTTTTGGATGGATGGATGGATATGTATCTTTCTTGTAAGATATAGGATAGGTAGGATAGCATAGCATAGAATGCAATACTCTTCCGTATATTGTTCTATTGTTCTCTTCTTTTGTAATTAGTATTGGAAGTCTTATATGCTTCAATATTTCTAGATATCTAGTACCTAGTAGGTATCTAGATTTACTGTTAATATTGGTTTAGTAAGTATATGTATGTAAGTATATATCATTATTCTCGTCTACCTAAACGCATAACGTAAAGCTCCCATTCATAACCATAAGCCTACCCGTCATCCCATCCTCACCCCCAACCCCATCCCCATCCTCATCATCCCCATTCTTCTCCATGATGAGAATCTCGTGCTCCGAAACCATAAAAACGCCTAGGTTTGGTACTTTCTTGCAATCAATTAATCAATCAATCCGAAAATTTATTCCCATCAGATAGGACAAGACAAGACAAGACAAACAGCCACTCATCCATCTACTTTTCTTCCTGTTGGCATCACTCCTTTTTTCCACCCATCAAATCTCTTCCCTCATTGCAACATCACTCTCCTCCACCTTAAGCCTCCAACCTCCCCAACCACAGATCACCCTCCCATTTCCTTAACATAGCCCTCCCAATCCCTCGCTTCCCCCATCATAGAATCCCCTATGTAAATCCGCCAAAGCCCCTAATTGACTCCTAAACTCAACCCTTTTGATCCTCTCAAATCCTGCCACTTCTCTTACAACCTCCTCATCGAAAGCTTCCGTCGTTTTCTTTGCATCTTCCACTTCCTTTGTCAATTCCTCTATCCTCAATTCAATCAACCTCCCGTAGTCTTTTCTGCGAGATTGTTCATGATCAACTCCTCTCACATCTTCGATTTTCGAGCGAATAAACCCGCCTGCTCCAGTCAGGGCTCCAGAACCATGAGATGAGGCTAGCTGATCCCGGTCATTGGTGGATTTTGCAAGATATTCAGTTAGTTGTTCAAAATCGAGTTGTTTCTGTTCGCGAGTTTTTAATAAGTTCTTGACCGCCGTGCTATAAGCCTGCATATCCCTCAAACTTCCGAGATAATTTTGATCTGTATGGTCCTTCAAGGTTTTGATTCCTGCACTGGTATCTTCTACACTAGCGCTGAATCCGTGGATACTAGTCTCAATTTCGGGCTCAAGATTGATTAACCGTTGAAATTGTTCGGCTAGATCTTTATAATCCGTTTCCAAATCGCCTTCACGACGAGCTACTCGAGCTACAATCTTTTCAATATGTCCGAGATCCTCATCCAATTTGTCGGATTTTCCTTTGACTTCTATAAATCGTTGATCGGGTTTATGGACTTTGGTAAAGGCATTTATGAACGTGTCCGTAAAATTGTCAAAGACTCCTGCAGCTTGTTCATCTCGAGAAGCGCCTCGAGAGGGGCGCGACCTCATTGTCGCATTCCAGTCCGAACTTTCCAGGAAGATTATCAAAAGGGCACTGCGACGGAGAACAGGGTGAAGGGTGAGCCGGGTGAGGAAACGTGCGAGAGAGTTGGCTCGTCTTTGCATGAAATCGACCCCGAATCGATCGCCTCGGACATATTCCATCTTATGCTTATCTGGTAGAGGAGGAACAGCACATGCTGGATATTCCCTGAAAAGAGTATTGTATAAGAACACAAAATCCGTAAATCGTCTTCGAACCGTCGTCGTAGGTTTTTGAAAAGAAGGAAACGTAGTCTACATAACAAATCAGTAAATCACCCTGCGCCCCTCGGTATCTCCGTAAAGACGAACATGCGTAGTAACAAGATACGAAACAAATGCATCTTTAGTCCCATCATTCTCCTTGATAGGTGATCCAACTGTACACTCTAAAACCCCTTCTCCGACGCCCGCTAGATCCAGAGCATCTGCATTTGGGCCAGCCTGGATCTCACCACTTTTCCTGTTGGTGTCTGGTCCTTCGCCTTCATCATCACTTTGCGAATGCCCTCTTTGATTGTTCTGCCATTCGATATTGGCGAAATCGTCGTGGTCCATCTTCGCAGTTGAAGTGCGCGGGGCAATCGGAGCTTGTTTTCGTGGGTAGGGTAGGGAAGCTTGGTGTCGTAGAGGGCTTGTTGCTATACAAATGATTTCGATGAACAATGCTCAAATAAACTTCTGTGTATTATTGATTGATAATATTTATGAGTGGTAATGCGAATTTTGTCTTAATTTGTACTCAAAAAGTGGTGAGAATAATTGTAGTGAATTATTGTTTGGAGGATTTCCTATGCAATAATCATGGAAGCTTCCCTTCCCTCGTCAACATCTAAAAGAGAGGCGGACCGATGTCATCCATCAATGAGAGCCAAACCTCTTTGAGCGAATTGGTCAAGAACTCACGACTCTTACAAGTGTAGCTTATTATTCAAAGTATATTATACGAATACTATTTCTTATTATCTACCTAGGTATACAAAAATAGGTAACACACAAAGGCAAATCGAATGAGATTATTACAAACGACTAAAAAAAAACTTTGGTATTGATTGATATTTTGATACTGCGCTGTGCTGCTGTGTAATCTGATGCACAATCATGGCAATCAGAGTCTATAACTGTAAAGTTCTATCGCATTCCCATCCAATCCATTTTATCCATGCGTAAACCAGATCCAGTAATGCTATAGCTTTTAAAACAAAAAGTGAGAAGAATTTTCAAATATACACATCAGGCTGAGCTTATGGCTTTTCTTCTCTTGCCTTGCTATCTTCCTGCTTTAATAGTTCTCCATCTTTCTCGGCAGCAATGGCCTCACTCACTTGATCCTTATCTGCTCCATCTTTGGCCTCCATACGTCTCTCTTCTGTTTCATCAATATCTTCGTTATCTTGAGGAGTGGCTCTGCCTTCCCCGGTATTCTCCTCGTTTTGCTCATTTTCTTCCTCGATAAGCTCTTGTTGCTCCTTCAAGACCTCAAGACGTTGTTTGTTGGTGGCAGCACCCTCTGCGTTGTGAACTTCAAGCTCAATCTCATGGAATAACTCCTCTGGAATGGATGATAGAACACCAGTAAGTGCATCAATTTGGGTTGAAAATTCAGCCTCCTTGCCTTGAGCATACATGAAAGCATTGCTCAATACCAATAATGTAGAGGGAACTCCATGCTTGAGTCTCAATTCTAACCAAGCTTGAAGATCATCGCGAAGACGACCAGGAGACATTCCATGAGTCCTGATACCTCGGTTGAGACAAGCAACCTGAAGTTCTGGAACAGACAAACTTTCTACACCCTCAAAGCTGATAGCACGATCGTCTCTCTTGATCTGTCTCATACGATGACGAATCTGATAACGAAGCATGGTATCGGTACCAAAAGTGTTAAGGTTCATGTATCTACACATACCAACGAGTTGGGGGCGAGACAAGTTGTCCAAAGTCAAATCGTCCTTGAATATCTGGCAGACCTTGATAACTTCCGAAGCACTAGGTGTTTCACCGGTGGCTCTAACTTTGCGGAAAAATTGAGCGAACTCCTCGATGTGAGCATTTGCTGTACACAAGGGTAGTCCGGTCTCTTTCAAGGTACTTCGCAAGAAGTTGCTGACATCCTTTCGAGTTGCACGAAGTGAAGATACTTTAGCATCTTTTGATTTCTGTGCCTCGTATGTGCTTGGAAGCATATTGGGGAATAGCTTGAGAGCAATGGGGAGGAGAAGTTCTGCGAATGGCACAAGAACAAATACGGAAAATGGCACTAATCGTGCCATATCTTGGACTGTTCTTCGTAGTTGCCTGTGCTCTCTGCGACTGAGCTCGTATCCTGCAGCCATCTTCAATGCTAAACGTGAACTAATCTTAATTTCCGTTCCCAGCAGTTTCGTACCATCCCAATAATGTGCCGCCTCTTTCTTAATCTTTTGTCCGAGTGTCAACTTTTTCTCTGCTTTCTCGCCATCGGGTTTCTCCACCGACTTTCCAGTTGAGCCAGCCAGTTCCGAAAGTGTCAAGCCTTCAGAGGCATCGGTTTTCGGTACTCCAGTGGCTTCGTTGGTTGGAATGGGGTTTATTTCATGTTTGCCTGCTTGCTTCACACCAGCTTTTGACGTCGCATTGGAGCTAATTGGAGTTTCTTTGATTGGTTTTCTGGCTTGTTCGGCATTGAAACCTGGTGGTGGTGCACCATTTGTTCCTCCCGATGTATGAGTATCTGTCGTTACACCCCTTCGTGGGATTAAAATAGCCAGTGCTGGCATTTGTGATGGAAGAGTTCGAGCATTACGACGTAAATATGCTGCTGTGGGACTGAGAGAAGATCGTTGGAGGGCACGAGCTAGGAGTAGCAGTTAGTACTTCATTAATTCCCCATTTATAAGCTGGAATGAGTGTGAACAAACCTCCTATGAATGATATTTGCGCCGCACTGCGGACAATTCTTGATGAAGCGCTCATTCTTATGGTGAATTCCCTTAGGAATGATATGACAAAAAAAGGTATGAACAGAGTATCGGAAATGTAGTATTACACAGAGTTTCTAATAGAGAGAATGAATGAGTTTATTCGTAATGAAAGATCATAGATAAAAGTTGTTTTTGAGAAGAAGGAATTGTTGTAAAACTTTATAAAACTTTATGCATCCAGTTCTAAAATGCCTTCAACGACGGATATGGATCGAGCAATGATTCTTCTGGAATTCGCCGTAGAATATCACGTGCTGATAGATTCCCAAGGCTAATGGGCTAGCGCGAACTGATAGGGGCGCGGGACGGAGCGGACTTAAGCATGGTGAAATGTTCTAGAAGAACGTGGCACGAATACAGTAGTAGATATCTTCTTAGCCAGGTTCATGTAGGGCCTTGCGTTGTACAAGAGTACAGATAGCCATCGAACTAGCTACTGTACCATATCAACAATCCAATAATTAGGTCTTATGTACAGTATGCATACTAGTTGTTCATAGATATCAAACGGTGTCAGACTAGTTGTCTTGGTTAGATAAACGGTGGTGGATCGACTCTTCCCTGCGAATATTCAAAAACAGCTGCATATACTACACAGCACAACTAAACCCGCAATGTCTCAAATACTATAGTCATCAATTTTATCTAGCACTTCTCAGACAGTTCAAGAAGTTGCTGTTGTTGTTAAGGTCTTGCTTTCTTTGCTCACTTCCTAGCCTTTTCAGAGTCTTGTTTGTCATCGGTGTCGTATCGGAAGTGAAGATGCAGAATTTGTTTCCCATATATATTTACTTCGAGGTGCGTTAACAGAAGAATATGCTAAGAGTTCTGGTGCAATGAAGAACAAAATTCAATTCAGAATTCGATTCTTATGCTATCTTTTACGCAGCAGATCCATTGATCTGTGGTAAAGCTATCGATGATCAAACCCTACAAACCTCGATGACAGTGCACACGATCGACAGCGATACTTGCAAGATCTACTTCCTTCCCCATGTTATCAAGTGTCCTTTTCTCAACATGCCCCCTCTGAAATTTGGTCCATACATACGTGATATCGACTTGGAATATTCACTCTCCGAGCCTAAACCTTTTCCGAGTTTTCACGATCCTGACTCTTCGGTTTACCATCAAGAATAAGAGTTTTCTCGAAGAAGACATAATAATCAGGACTCTTATTGCCATGTGGATCTTTCTGTTTCATAAAATTATTAAGAGTTTTTGTAAGAACTTCTCTGCCATCTGGAAATATTTTGGCGAGTTCGCGACAGAATGCAGATTTGTTGGATGATACGTTTTGAAGAAACGTCTTGATCTTCTTGCGGATTTCGTGGCACGAGTCGTAGATGAGAACTGATTCTGTGTCTTCTCCTTCGAGTTCAATGCCCGAGACATCATACGGTCCTGCCGGCTTGCTGAGTCTCTCCTTCTATGCAGGGGATAAGTGCATGGCAGTTGGTGGTGATGAGATGGAATTCGATGGCGATGAAACGGAATGTGGTAGTAAAGGAGGAGACGGTAAGACTGGCTTCATGGACTTCTTTAGGCTAATACTATCAGCTTCACGTCAAACCAGCGAGCAAGGTAATATGGTCCCTTACACTCTTTTCTTGAAGAATGCGACTGCATTGTAGTAAACATTACTACCACTTCCTTTGTCATAACCACTCTTGTTCATGAACGTACGATAAGTTTTACCTCTGACACCGGTTGCTCTTTGGAAGTTTGTGTCATTCATCTCACCCGAGCTGATAAAATTCTGAATCTCCTGTCGAACTTGGTTGCAGTCTAAGTCGGCTGCTGAAAGGTGTTCACCATCATCGTCGATCTTAATGAGAGGTTGGAAATCATCAATCTCTGTCGCTTTGCGTTTGCCCGTCATCATATTGTGCTTATATAGTTAGCAGAGAAGTCAAAGGTCTGGAAATATCACACCTTGGTGTTTATTTGGTATCGCGTCATTTTATATTGTAACCTGCATGATCGAGGGTCGTATACCAAACATCGTTGGATTGAAAGGGATGCCATTATCATTAGTAGCAGGGAGACGATTACTAAAATGACTCACAAGAGCTTTACTACACGCAGGCTCTATGAGTATCTTCTCTTTCTCCGTTCACTTTCCAATGTTGCCTACCAAGAAGGAATCTTGCAGATTTATCAGATGCAAGTTTCCGCGCCATCCTGGTTTGATTTGAAATAAAATATCCCAGGCTGCGACAAAACATATTCATATCCATACTCAAGTAACACCGAGTAGACTAGGCCACTGCTCTTCAAATAGTAGTTTTGCGGGGGGTACACTAGAATGATTCTTTTTGTCAATCGAGAGAGTAAGGGCCCAAATTGTATTTGATCGCACGCATCAAAACCCTTCAACGTTGAAGAACATACGCAAAGGACCTCAACTAAGGCATGTATGGCGTAGGTATGGCTCATTATTTGTGCCAAATAGCATACTGACAATATGATGGCATCACAGGATCTTTGAATGTCGAATGGAATTACACCCCCATCCCCACACTTTCAAAGTCTTGATCTCGTTCTACCGCCTTCTTTCTAATATGGAAACTTTGTCAACAGAAGAGGCGATTAACGTAACTTTGTATCATGTATCATGAAATTAAGCGAAACCACTGGTCGACTCAAACTTGTATAGATCAAAGTGTTCAATAGTCTAGACTAGCAGGCTAGATTCGATTTTCAATATTCAATAGCAGGTTGATACTCGAAATAACTTCAACATCTCAAAGTACTTGGTTATTACCATTGAACCCAAAGATCTAGAGAATCTACTTATCAAACTGTAGTTCGAGTTATGCCAAATCCTGATGTTAGGGATCTATATGATCGTTCAGGAAGTGATTTTTGTGTTAGTTGAGGTCCTGTAGCTAATCTATTGGTTATTCTAAACACATTTATAGTCACTGATGGAGTGTGATCACGATTTCCGGTAATGGGACATTCGTTCGTTAGTAGGATTCAGAAAAACGAAGAATTGGTACCCGTCACTGTATTCACAGATGAGTACTTTTTGGTCGATATCCAGCTCCTCGCGAAATAGGAAAATAACAGGAAGATTTATTCGGAATGCCAATGTTTCAGCCCATCCTATTTAACCATCCTCACATCCGCTGCAAAGGAATGTAAACAATTATGGGTCTCCCTTCCTAGCTCAATGATACTATCGCATCTTTTGCTCCAAATCCCAAATGAACGGGAACCTGTTAGAAAGACACTCCTTTCTTATGGACCATATCAATCTCTTTTCCAAAGAACCAAGGGCATTCACTTGTAACTTCGACTTATTGTCGCTACCTTCATCGCCAGAATGTGCAAATGGGTTATCTGAGTCATTAGACTGTGCAAATGGATTATTTTCTGCGCGTTCATCTGCAGTGTTAGCAAATTGATGTTTTCCGCATAAACCAAATATTTTTCAAGCATCTATAATGAAATATTCCTCCCTGGCACTATCATTTGCACAACGATAAGCGATAATATTTGGATGAAGTAGTGGGGGACTAAATTCGCATACGAAAGTCGTTTTCGAAGCACCAAAGACGTGAAATCTATATCTGGACACACGGTTCGGTGTTTGCACTCGAAGTTAATGACGTGAATACTAAGCTTGGCGTGATTTTATTGCAAGTCATGTTGATATATCAGTTCAGATTTCTGCAACATGAAAGACACCATTGACCAAGCTACATCGAAAGATTGGGTTTTTGACAAGAAAACTTGATACCCCTCATTAAAACCCAGTCGCTTTAATATGAGCCGACCTCTAATCTCATAGTAATATCATTATAATTTGAGATTGATTTGAAAATAATCAAACAATGCTGTGGTTAAATCAGATATCTGGGAAAGGAAAGAAACTTCTCAGATATTTGAATTGACGTACTGACCCAAGAAACGAGGGTAGTGTAGCAAATTCCACCACTTGGTTTGCAGCAAAGCCCAAATATTCATCCATTGCTGAGAATGAAATGCTATATGACTGATATACTAGGACTATTCAGAAGCACGAGATTACTCGAGCCTTGAGTTGATTTGGAGAGTAACTTAAGTCATATTAAGTAGTCTACACTTCTCAGACCAGGCCGAACACATACACTCCAGCATATAGCATGAAATACCATGATGGTAACTGGCCAGAGGGTTGAGATTTTATTTTACAAAGAAAGAACTTGACATGGAGTTGGGGGAAAATCATATGAGAATATATATCTCACTCTTCTCGATTAGTCCAGCTTTCTTCCCAAGACAAACAATTTATGTTGGTATAGAAAAAGTCCATACTTGGGTTCGATTGTATGATTGAGGATATCCCGACGCAACTTTTCCAAGCTACAGCGAAACACTTGTCTCTACAGCCCCGAGATTCAGTCTTGCGATGAGTTGATGCGATGAGTTTGGAAAGATCGTGTAAGTAAATCCTGGGAACCGCCAGCTACACGTTGTTAATACTTTTTGCAATCTCCTGCGCAGAGGAGCTTTTACAATCACCCCTTCCAACATCTTGCCGCCTTTGAATGTAATTAGAAACAATGCGTATATCACAAAGATTGATAAGAGCATTTGGCAGGAAATAAAGCCAAAGCCTTTCTTCAAAATTTCCGCAGGATAGCACGAGCGAGGGATTCTCCATTGTGACAACTGTCACATTAAACCAAGTACATACGGAGCAGTTAAATCTTAGGGTTGTTGCTATCAAAAATAGACAATTCTTTTTTGAATCACATATAACTCTTTTTATCGGCGGTTCGTCCAGCAATCAAGGTTAGAATCACAGCTTTTCACACCGCAGCGATAGAATCCATAAGACCGACAGCATTAGGGTGGCCAGACCGTCAAAAGTAAGCAAGAATAGGTAGAAGAGGAAATAGATAGACCGAACAGTCCCCTGCTAGAAAGTAGACTAAGTAGACTATGAGTTGGGAAGAATCGAGCTGAAAACCTCTGGGTTAGAGTGGTGAAGATGGTAGCATATTGAGTATAAAGTGAAACAAACACGAATGTTAGACTCATTGTTCCCTTCTCGCCCTCTTCAATTTGATTCGATATGTGTTTGACGTTGTTGAGATTCATCAGATAGAAGAGAAGGGGGAGAGAAGAAATGGCGGAATATATTATTACCTAATCAATCAGTCAAAATTTAGCCAATCGGACAATCGGACAAGCGGGACGATCCCTGACATTAGTAAGGTTAGCTCTTGCTTTCGTGCGGCGGCCGTCACTTGGCTCATTCCTCAACAAATCCGGGGAGGCGCTATGACCATTTCACACCAGAAATTCTTGATAAGCTTCATCAGTCAAATTGAGGTTACATTTACATTTTCCCCCGCTCGCCGTTTATTTGATTTGCTTGTGACAACTCCGGACTCTTATACAACAAAGTATCTTGGTATTGTATTTTACTATTCCCCCATTACTTATTTCAATCGTCTCATCCCTTACTCCGGCCGTTTTTCTACTTCTTGAAAAGAGACATTCATCTTTTAGATTCACAGTCATTCATCAGTCCAGCATCTTTTCTTTCTTTCTAATTCTTCAATACAAGTGTCGTACGGCAATTCCCCCAGCAGATATAGAGGGTTCCCGACGTGGTGTACGGACATCCGATCCGGCTTTAAGGATTTTGATATAAACTGTCTCCATCCGCGATCTCCTTCGACTTAGATTAGTATATGCGACACAATGCGCCTTAAGAAAGCAGCAAGAATTATATTAGTTGGGGCTCCGGGAGTAGGAAAGGGCACGCAGGCAGAACGACTTCTACAACGATTCCCGCAACTTTCTGCCATTAGTTCCGGGGATTTATTGAGAGATAATGTCAAAAATCGGACTCCGTTAGGTATGCATACTTCCACATTTTTGTAAATTGCGACTTACACATACCTGCAGGAATCAAGGCGGAAAGTACTATACAGTCTGGCTCTCTTGTTCCTGATGCCATGATACTTCGACTTATCCTTCACGAATTGAAAACTCGTGGTTGGTTATTTCCCTCGTCGGCGCCATCTATGACGCTAGCATCTAGCGCAATGTCTGCTACCTCCTCACATTTCGATACAGATTCATATGTCGAGCAACCATCACTGGCGGAAGCCTCTTCACCACCTCAAACATCAAACGACCCCTCAGCTTCTTTTATACTTGATGGCTTTCCTCGCACGGCCGAGCAAGCCTATCAACTCGATTCACTCATTCCAATAAACCTCGTCGTCTCTCTCAAAACTCCGGCGTCTGTCATACTGGAGCGCATCGCGGGCAGATGGGTTCACGCACCATCTGGTCGAGTTTATAATACTACATTTCATGCGCCTAAGGTCGCTGGGCTTGACGATATCACTGGAGAAAAACTCACAAAGCGACCAGATGACTGCGAAGAAACTTGGAAGACCCGACTCAAGAAATTTGAGGAGACAAGTGAACCTTTACTTGAACACTACGCACGCAAAAATGTATTGTGGGAAGTTGAAGGAAATAGCAGCGATGAGATTAGTCCTAAATTATACCAAGAGTTTGAGAGACGGTTTGCAGATATATAAAAATTCTACCAATGGTTTAAATGGTTTGAGTAGGGTGGAAGGATGTATCACATCTATAAGGTTTTGGCGCACGGCGGGATTGTTGGCAAAGAGTGGGCTTTGCCTCTGCGAGATCAATTTACTCTTCGTTATTTTCGCTTATTCCCCTTTTTAATTAATCGTGGTTCAGTGAAATGATGCTTTAAGTGGGGCAAAGACTTTTGTATGTATTGACAGTGATTCTCGCTAGCTATGCCAAGTGCCGAGTTCACCATTGTAGGTATATGAAATGCCGTGTGATTTATTCTGTACTCGTTCATTACTGTCGACGTCACAGAGCATATGAAGAAGTAGCAGTCAAAGAATTGATAATTATCATTGGAGGTTTCAGGACTTCTTTAACAAAGAGAATGATTTTTTGTTTACACGGTTTCTTTGGACATTCTAAAGACTTCTTCAAATCGATTACAGGTGATATATGCATTTTCGGAATATAATCCGCTGTTCTTCGGGACTTCTTCTCGGGATTTAGATGTCCTAAAATGCAATATCGGCTAAATGGATGGCGTTGGCCTAATATTCTAGCTCTTTGTCCTCCCAGTATCATCCTCGGCAATTTTATGTTGATGAGGAATTCATGAGCTTCAAGATTCGAAGTTGGTCTCAGTCGCCCAGAGAGATTGTTGCAATAATAACGATATATGAACCGTCACCTGCTATTCAAGAAGTGAGATGTATGTAAGTTACTTCTGAAGTCCCATACCAGATAAGAAAGGCAATTATTAAATATAATAATAAGGACGGAAAGTTGTTGACATAATGATCAATTGACTTTCTTCAATCATTTTCCATCGGACTTATATCCGCGTGTGCAGCTCATTGTCGATGTCACCAAATAATGAGAACCAGTGACGTTCCTCTTTTTCATACACGCGCATCTCGTATGTCATTATCAAAACATGGCTTTTGGACGAAAGTATCCCCTTTGTTTAATAAGTTTGCATGAACTGTATAAGGGTGATCCCCAGCTACTATGTCTAAGTACTCCATATCATTTGGGATATAACAGAGTTTCGATAAAACTAATGACACGATGTTTACGAAAAACAAACGAGGGAAATTTAGTCTGAAGGGGATCGGGATTAAAAAGCCCGAGGGAGTAGCAGCTCGTCTGTCTTTGCTATTCTCGTAGGCCTGTTTGTGGCATTCGGTGGAGTGCTTTTCGGGTGTGTATTTTATTGACTTGATTACCACGAAATCCATACTCAAACTAATCATCCGACTTAATAGATACGACACCGGAACGATCGCTGGCATTATAAACCATGCGCTACTGGCTGGATACCTTTTCTACAGGATACATTGATCCCAAGACTGGTCAACTCGGCATTACGTCTAGTGAATCATCCTTGATTGTGTCGATTCTATCCGCAGGAACACTTTTTGGCGCTCTATTTGCTGCGCCAGTAGCTGATTGGACAGGAAGGCGCATTGCACTTTGGATTAGTCTATGCGTGTTTGCCTCTGGTGTTGTCCTGCAAACAGCTTCAGTTGATATCCCATTGTTTGTGGCAGGAAGGTTCTTTGCTGGGTTTGGAGTTGGCATGGTTTCGATGCTAGGTATGTTAGACATGTTCATGGTTTGTTAATATGTGCTAACATAAGATAGTGCCTCTCTATCAGTCTGGTAAGCTGTGATGGTTATAAATGAGGTTGTGTGTGTGATCTGACTTCAGCCAGAAACGGCACCGAAGTGGATTAGAGGAGCTATAGGTAAGGGAACATTACCCATTTTAGTATCGTTGTATCGTTCATTGCTGAAAGGGATTAGTGGGTGCCTATCAACTTGCCATCACAATCGGATTATTGCTTGCGGCAGTTATCGACAATGCCACCAAAGGTCTCGACAACACTGGATCGTACAGAATTCCAACTGCTGTTCGTAAGTCTTCACCTCAGACTCGATTGTCAATCAGAACAAAGTTCAACAATTAACGGAAGTCGCGCAGAATTCGCCTGGGTCCTCATTTTAGGGATTGGACTCATCTTCCTCCCCGTAACACCTCGTTACCTGATTAAACGTGGCAGACACGACAAAGCAGCAAAGTCGCTTGGCAGACTTCGAAGACTGGATATCAACGATCCCCACTTGATTGGCGAGCTTCAGGAAATTGAGTCCAACTATGTCCATGAACAAAGTTTAGCTAAGGGATCATCATATCTACAATTCTTAAAATGGAATACTTTGGGTAATAGGTATTCTTCACATTTGCATCAGCAAAAAATCCTGATTACATACTGACACATGCAGACTTTTAACAGGTTGTTGCCTTCAAGCTCTTCAACAACTAACTGGAATCAACTTTATTTTCTACTATGGTACTTTACTTCTTCGCCGCTTCCAGAATCAAAGAACCTTTCGTCACAAGCATGATTAACTCATCCGTAAATGTCTTCTCCACACTCCCCGGTCTCTACCTCGTCGAAGCATGGGGCCGTCGTCGTCTCCTCATGTTCGGCGCTCTCGGCATGTTCGCCTGCCAAATAATAGTCGGTAGCGTCGGCACCGCCTTCCCCAACGGCGACAACATCGCCGCCCAAAAAGCCCTCGTGGCATTCGTATGCATCTACATATTTTTCTTCGCCAGCAGCTGGGGCCCCGTCGGCTGGATTATCCCTGGGGAGATCTTTCCGCTTCCTGTGCGCGCGAAAGGGATTTCGATGACGACGGCTTCGAATTGGCTCTTGAATTGGGCGATTGCGTATTCGACTCCTTATTTGGTGAATCCTGGACCCGGGAATGCGAATTTGCAGGCGAAGATTTTCTTTGTGTGGGGTGGTTGCTGTTTGTTGTGTGCGGTGTTTGTGTATTTTTTGATTTATGAGACGAAGGGGTTGAGTTTGGAGGAGGTGGATGAGCTGTATGAGAGTGTGGGGAAGGCGTGGAAGAGTACGCATTGGGTGCCAGTGGAGGGGTATGGAAAGGAGTGGAGTTGTGGAGGGGGAAAAGGTGACGTCTGCTGAACATAAGGAGGGAGCTGCTTGAGTGAGAAGAGTTGCTGGGATTTGAATGGGAGGAAACATATGGATTTTTGTACTGGAATGATGCGCGATGCTGGTGGTTCCAAGGGGGCTTTGGAAATATCGGATTTCACGTATTTTGATTGTCATGTTGGATAATTTAGGTAACCTCTTCGCTTCCCTTGATATATTTATCTCTCTTGTGTATCATCTTTCTGCATAGACCGAGTAAACAATCCAATTCACATTTTTTTTAATATTTCTGCCAACAGGTATGTATTTACACAAGATCCCCTCTCTCCATATTCATTCGAAAAAACAAAACGTATATGGACACCGATACATCAATCAATTAGGGTGATACATCAATTAGGTTTATAAACCAATGCCCAGCTGAACTTTCTATTCCTCCCGCGTCTCGACTTGAGTATAACGAAAACAAACTTTTTACAAAAACGAAAACAATCTCGAGAGAATATCGAAGCAACGACTTGTAAAGACTTTCTCAGGTAGGAACTCAAAATCCGACATGTTCCTATTTTCTCGGATACGAAAAGCTAATGCTGCTCGTATTCAATGACTAATCAGCTACCTAGATACCACCAGATACCCAGAGTCAGTATTCACAGGGAGTAAATTAGTGCAATCATTAGTGACTTGGGTAGTGTATTTAGTGAGTTTACCCCGCAATCAACATTCTGCATTTACATTTTATGCAAGCGCAACGTTTACAACGCAACGCAACGCAATGCAAAGTAATATAAGTACCTAGGTGATGGTGAATCTTTTCATTCATTATCATGTAGGTACCGGTAGGAAGGTAGTAGGTAAAATCTATCAATTCAAGACAAGTATATACCTCCAGCTACCTACCTGAGTATACAACATTTATTATCAGACCACATCCAAACCTCCAAGATTCTCTATCGTTCCAGTAGAGGCCTATCTGATGGGAGGAAGTAGGCTGATGGAAGAGGTGGTGCGTCATTGTCAGCTCATTTTCTTATGGCTCTCGGGTTATACAGGAACCCCGCCGACAAGCAGTTACTGCAGGGTGTTGTGTTCACTCGGGATATTCTCTACTTGCCGTGCATAAAAGGGATCCGTGTTTGTTTTCGTGACAATTTCGATAATGGATAGAATGCGAAAGGTGACTGGGAAATTATGCTTGTATATCGGTATTCGGCGGATATGTTGTTGATCTTGCGACAGATAGTCCAGGTAAGGAGTAAAACCAAGGAGTGAGGAGAGTAAGGAGATCTCAAAGCATGTGATTGATCATTCACTACCTACACTGCAAGCCATCAGAATATGAATTTTATCGCCCCATATGATATACAATCCAATCACCTAGGTATGCTTTTAACGCTTTCATAATAAGATCGAGATCTAGGTGAACCTTGGAACTAATTGACCACTAATGAGAGAGACTATTCTACTGTTGGGTGAATATACGTGAGAAAGATTTTGGTAAGATTTATCAGGCCACTTTTTACCAGCCCGTGTTTGCACGCTGCAGTGCTTCCATCCATACGACTGGGTCTTGGAATGAATGTCTCTTTGACTTTCCAAGGTTTCGATACGTGCAGTGAATAAAAGGAGGCGCAATTCCACATTGCTTTTTCCATTCCTTCTTTCTTTCTTCTTCATTACAACAACGACATCTCAATACCACTTTGCAACTTCCACTTCCACCTTCGTTGCAGGTGAACACCAACAATCCATTCCCTCTATTCGATACGACACTCAATACTCATTCCTTTACCCTAGGGTTCTATCAAGAGCCTCAAATAACTCAACATGGCTCCACCTTCTGGCGAAGTCGAGGTTGAGAGCATCTCTCCATATGGAATTGCTCGCACCACCGTCGACGAAAAACCACTTTCAGATGAGGAAATCAAGAAATTCGATGCTTACTTCCGCGCTTGTATGTATCTATGTCTGGGCATGCTTTACCTTCGAGAGAATGCTTTACTCAAGGAACCACTCAAGAAAGAACATCTCAAAGCTCGACTTTTGGGACATTGGGGTTCCGATGCTGGTCAAGCTTTCACTTATCTTCATATGAACCGACTTATCAAGAAGTATGACTTGAATGCATTGTTTATCTCTGGTCCAGGTCATGGAGCCCCTGCTGTCCTTTCAAATGCTTATCTGGAGGGTACTTACTCTGAAGTTTACCCTGATAAGGCAGAAGATGAGGAGGGTATGCGAAAGTTCTTCAAGCAATTCTCTTTCCCGGGTGGAATTGGTAGTCATGCGACTCCAGAAACACCGGGTAGTATTCATGAGGGAGGAGAGCTTGGATATTCCATTTCACACGCCTTCGGTACCGTCTTTGACAATCCTGACTTAATCACCTTGACCATGGTTGGTGATGGTGAGGCGGAGACTGGTCCATTGGCCACAGCATGGCACTCGACCAAATTCCTCAATCCAATCACAGATGGTGCTGTTCTACCAGTTTTGCATCTCAATGGTTACAAGATCAACAACCCTACAATCCTTGCTCGAATCAGTCATAAGGAGTTAGAAGCTTTGTTCGTTGGTTATGGATGGACACCATACTTTGTTGAAGGAAGTGATCTCGAGAGTATGCATCAAGCTATGGCAGGAACTCTCGAGCGTTGTGTGGTCGAAATCCGCAAGTACCAAAAGGAAGCACGTGAATCCGGCAAAGCAGTCCGACCACGCTGGCCCATGATTGTTCTTCGCAGTCCTAAAGGTTGGACTGGTCCTAGAAAGGTCGACGACAAACTCCTCGAAGGCTTCTGGCGTGCACATCAAATTCCACTTCCCAACGTTGCAAGTAATCCAGAACATTTGCAACTTTTGGAGTCTTGGATGCGCAGCTACAAACCTGAAGAGGTTTTCAACAAAGAGGGTAAATTACTTCCCGAGTTGAAGGAATTGGCTCCTGTTGGCAATGCTCGTATGAGTGCCAATCCTGTCGGTAATGGTGGTATCCTTAGAAGACCACTCGATATGCCCGATTTCCGCAAATACGCATTCGAAAATGTCGAAGCAGGTGTCAGCAATCTTCCCAGTATGGCCAACATGGCAAAGCTTCTACGTGATGTAGTTGCCAACAACATGCATAACTTCCGTCTCTTTGGACCTGATGAAACCGAATCGAATAAACTTGGTGAGGTTTACAAGGCTGGCAAAAAGGTTTGGATGGGCGAAAATTTCGAAGAAGATGCTGATGGCGGAAATCTTGCTACTGAAGGTCGTGTCATGGAAATGCTCAGTGAGCACACTGTTGAGGGTTGGTTGGAGGGATATATCTTGTCTGGTCGTCATGGCTTACTCAACAGCTATGAACCGTTCATTCATGTTATCGATTCCATGGTCAATCAACATTGCAAATGGATTGAGAAGTGCAATGAAGTCGAATGGCGCGTAAAGATGGCGTCTCTCAATATCCTCTTGACAGCCACCGTTTGGAGACAGGTAAGCAATTGTCTTTTTTCTTCTTCAATCCTGTGTCTCCGAATCTCAATCTTCATCTGGATTTTGGCTTCTCTTGTGTATAATTCTCTGTTTTTTTCTGGTTCAACAGCCTTTCAACAACTTTCCGTGATAGGCAATTACTAACTTTTCAATGTTATAGGACCACAATGGTTTCACCCATCAAGATCCCGGATTCCTCGACGTTGTCGCCAATAAGAGTCCTGAAGTTGTACGAATCTACCTCCCACCCGATGGAAATTGTCTTCTCTCGTGTATGGACCACTGTCTTCGTAGCACCAACTACGTCAATGTCATCGTCGCCGACAAACAAGATCATCTTCAATACCTCAACATGGAAGATGCTCTCACTCACTGCGAGAGGGGTCTCGGAATATGGGACTGGGCTTCTAATGACCAAGGTTTCGAACCTGATGTTGTCATGGCCACTTGCGGAGATGTACCCACCCATGAATCTCTAGCTGCTACTGCACTTCTTCGAGAACTCATTCCAGATTTGAAAATCCGATTCGTTAATGTGGTCGATCTTTTCAAATTGATCCATCATGGTGACCATCCTCACGGTATCACAAATAAAGATTGGGTATCGATTTTTACAGATAATAAGCCCATCATCTTCAATTTCCATTCTTATCCTTGGCTCGTTCACAGACTTACCTATAAGCGTCCGGGCCAAAGCAATATCCATGTTCATGGATACAACGAGAAGGGTAATATTGATACGCCATTAGAATTGGCTATCAGAAATAAAACCGATCGATATAGTTTGGCGCTGCATGCGGTGGATAGCATTGAGAGATTGGGTAACAAGGGCGCGCATGTTAGGGAGAAACTTCTAAATATGCAGATTGAGGCGAGAAGAGAGGCGTTTGAGAATGGAATTGATCCAATTCATATTCGGGAGTGGAAGTGGCCTTTTCAAAAGGGTGGCAAGGATGAGAAGATGTTGAAGTAAATGAGGGATTGGCAGGGTGGAGGCTTTCTTGTAAATTGGAAGGGGTTTCTTTGAAGAATAAACGGATTTTCTGCGAGAATTCGGATGGTGGAGGGAAGGGATCTCAGGAAGGTCTAATAAGGCGTTGGTTGAGTAGGGGATTCACAAAGATAGTATGATCATAATCGATGGTGGCAATTCTGATCCTCGGTCTTAAAATTGTGCTTTGATTGTCGTGATGATTGATGCCTTGAGAGTATCACACGCTTTGAAATCTCAGAAGCAAAGGTAAATAGAAAGAGGTAAATACCTAGTAAATCATCGAAAACTCTATCTTCACAATAAAACACCAAAAGAATTTCTCAAAATACATCATCAATTCGATTCTAGATCATTAATACCATATACATATCCCCATCTCCCTCCCACAATAAACCCCACATATCATACCCACCCTCGAGCCACCCTAGCCAGATCCTTGCTCGAAAATCTCCATCCCATCTCCATTTTTTGTTTGTGTAGTATATATTTTTAAATGCAGCCGCCAGTCTCAACAAACACAACAAAATGTGACCATTTCGAGACTCAACTCGATTCATAACTCTCGGTCGTCTAGTTGGTTTATGACGTCAGACTGTAATTGCTCACGTGATCTGGATGTCGCGTGTTCGACTCACGCCTGAGAGAATATCCTTTTGAATGTTTTGTTTTTCGTTTTTTATTTTGGTTATGGGTTTGAGTACAATACAGATCTTCCAGAGCGAAGATATACAGAATTTTCATACGTAAGCTAGCCCGATAGGTCCTAGCTTACACAATCATCAGTCACGTGTCTCCACATCCTGACAACTATTTAGAAATTACTTGGAAAAGATTATTGATATTATTTATAGAGAGAATGTATTTTAATAATGTAATAGTATAGAAAATCTCATTATTATTAAAACTCATATATATATATATATATATATATATATCAACTAGTCAGGTATAAAAAAAGACGAGGACTAATTATAACTACGAAGTGTCACGGGGTGACACTAAGCCCTTTCTGTCCTGTCCTGTCCTGCTATATATGTGAGAGTAAGGTAGAACTTCCAGTTCTACCTCCTAGTCTTTTGGGCGTTTAGCTCAGCGGTAAAGCTTCTGAATACTCCCAGAGGTGATCCCGTGACAAAAGTTTCCTATAACCCCTGAATCTATTATGGCTTATTATATTTATCCGTTTATTTTGATTTTATAATATATCTATTCTGTTTATTCTATAACATTCAATTGCTGGGTAACTTGTTTTTTGTTTGTTTTATTGGATTGTTGGTTTCTTGTCTTTCTTTTCTTAGGGAACCATTTGGTTGCTTTTTTATCTGATCGATGGATTCCGCAGAATTCATTATAGCAAGTAGTCCAGCTTATTATTGTGTGATTTGTTGGTATTTCTTTCTTAATATATTCTTCCGTTATTGATGGTGATGGGGTTCGGTAGTATTCCTGTTCCTACAAGTCTATTGTATTCATACCTTCTTGGTTTTGCGGTAACTTATCCAATAATTTCCGGAATTCTTTATTGGTGAAGGTTTTAGTTTCTTCGGTCTTAGCTGGATGTTCCTGGGATACAAAGGTAGCGTTAAATTAGCCTTTGCCGAACTTGGGTTTGAAGTTGCTTTTCTTTTCTTTTATCTTTTTACTTCGGCAATTTGCTGCTTGGTGTCCTGCTTTTCCATATTCAAAGCATAAGTTGTTTTCTTGCTTTTGTCTTTTCTCTGGATTATTATTCCCGTTTCTGTGGTATGTGGTGTCTAGTTTTATGGGGTCCCTGTAACTTTGTGTATTGTAATGTGATCTATCCTTATTTTTGCGGTAATGCCTTTGCTTATGATTTGTTTAAGGCTTGTATAATCGTTGGATTTGTTTGTACCTGTATAGTCGGTTATTGGTATCAATGGAGCTTTTGATTAATTTGTTTAAGTCATTGTTTTCCCTTTCCCTATCAAGTTCCAAACGTATTTTTGGTTTGAGTTCTTTACGATAATGACTTATAATAGCGATCTCGTTCCATTTAGTTATCCCTGTATATCTTCGGAACTCCGTAATATACTTCAATGCTAACCCTGTCTGTTTGAGATTGAAGATCTTTTCTTTCGCTATTTCTAACTTATTGGAGTTTCCGAAGATCCTACGGATTTCTATCTTGAATCCTTCGAAACTATCGAAAATGGTTCTTGTGGGCTGCATGCGTTCCCTGTCGTCATACTCAAAATAGTTGCGCAGGTATGGCTGAATCCATTTGCCTACCTCGTTTTTGAGATATGACACAGTTCAAATACTCTTAGATTTCTTTTTGGTAAACTTGTTTTGATTGAATCTAAAATAGATTTCGAATTGTAATAAAAAGGTATCGAATTCCTGTCGACTTCCTTGATACTTGTCTGGTAAGGCAATCTTGAGTGTTTCGTTGATAATGATCTCCTTAAAAGCATTAATCATTTCGATATTATCGAAATTGCTTACTGGGGCCTGTTAACTTCTGAAAAAACTATTGGCTGCCATACTAGTGGTTGGTATTGAATTGATACTTGAAGCAGAAAGGGTACTCAAAGTGTTACGGAAGCTGCCTCTAGGGTCACATGGAAATATCTAGAGATCTCTCGAAATGATTTAAACTAAACTTCAAATAGGAATTCAATAAGATTATAACTAATTGCAATTCTTATAACTATAATAATGAAACTAATAATTGTTTTTGAATACAAAGCTTTACATTATAATGAAACCCATTCTCTTATATAGATCTTCGTTTTATTTGAATAATTAGGATAGTCAATCGCTCCTAGAGCGCTATCATTCCTGAACTGTTCATTACAAAACACTAATCCTATAACTCCTGATATTCTAACTTATTCTTTTGTTCTAAAGCTAATCCTCTAGGATATTATTAATCCTAATAAAGCCTTCTTGTTTATTGTGTTCTGTCTTTTCTAAGATCTATTATCCTAGGAATTATGTTCTAGGTTTCTAGAGTATCCTATGACTAATACTATATATATGCCTGAGGCTTTTTTTGGGTGTCTAATATCCTCCGGTATACTGTAGCTGAATCACTGAGGCCTATAATACCATTATAGCCTATAAGTTGGTGATTCTACAGCCTGTTACTAATCCGTTGTAACACGTAGGTCATGAGCTAGTATATGAGTATTTAGTATAAATAGAATATAAGAGGGAATAGACTAGTATTAGTCTATTATGGGAAGCTGGCTTGTATTAATAACTAAATAGCTATGGAACATGTGATTTTCATGAAATAGTATATAATATTCTTATTTTCTTATTCTATATTCGAGGGGGAAAGGCCTTATTTTATGCTTTTTCCTACTAATCTAGCTTTCCACTTTCGTTTATCTCTTGTAGATCTCTTCCTAATCCGGCCATTCCTTCGAAATAGAGCTCTTTTTCATATTCTTTATTAATAGTCGTTTTCGGAAACTAATAATAATCTTTTTCATAGGGATGCGAAGACTCAACACCTGTACGCGGTACATCCTACGAACCTCCAGCTCTTTCTTGAAAATCTGCAGAGCTAAGATTGAGTTGCAGATAGAATTGGAAGAATTGAAAGGAAAGAGGTTTAGAGATATAGTGAAGAATTATATTATGATTTTATGATAACAATATTTATAAAAAGTTGAATACCAGCTTTAAATACAAATACAAAGATTATGGAAACTCCGATTAGATTCAACATCTACCATCAATTATTATTTCAAATACAGAAATATGATATAAAATAGATCTCTTCTTTTAGAAAAGTCTTTTCGATATAAAACTTGCTATCGCTCTACTTATATTACAACCCTTTTTTATATCCTTTGGCTTTCAGTCACTCGAATATTATAACAACACAATATAGAGAATGCTATCACTTTCAAATTAATATCATATTCTAGGTATCGATATAATACAACGTTTTTCTTTTAATTTTCGAATTTTCGAATTTTCCGAATTGATTTGTATATAAGTAATAAGACTTAGGATTCGGCCCTGCCCCACTATTTTCAATAGTTTCAATTATACACATCTAATAAGAACTGAAGGATATTAAGTTTATGAAGATATATAAGGAGCTAGTTTAAAAAAGATAAAGATAGAAAAGAGTAGTACCTTTTTCTACTACCTCATTAACAAAAAGACCCTTTACTATATTGAAGACAACTTGAAAGGGGATAACTCTTGCCTTTTATAGAAAGAAAGGGATAGTAAATTGGATTTAGGATTTTAAAAAGAGAAATTGGATATTAGAATGCTTTAATTGGATTAGGGATAGGGGAAGAGTAAAAAAAAAAGTGTTTCAGAAAATGAAAACTATTTAATCTCTATTTATACTCCAAATAGAAATTGAATATAACACCCCAGCATTCGTTTTTACTCCCCCAAATTGAATATATCTACTATAAATATCTACTAACAGTTATTAGATTCTTAAAGCCTAGCCGTTCTAAATAGTCTTGGACTGAGAAAAGGACGTTAATTAAATCAATCAATTAATCTTTTTCGTATGATTGCTTTCGGAAGCTTATAAGCGACGATCACGTGGTTGATCATGTGATTCGATACTAGTATACTATATGAATATAGAACTATATTATATATATTCAAAAAGATATATTATTATATTATTTTTAAACAAAAACGATAGATTTAGATGATTTAGATGATTTGTTGGATTTGAAAGGTTTTGTTTATTTTGAGATGTGAGGGTGTAAAGTTTTGATGAAGAGATACATGTGTATAGATGTAAAGATTGATAATAGCTCAGGTACTTCAGCTGATGGTCCAAGTTTGAAAGGAGTAGGAATTTCAAGTGATTTCAATCTATTATAGATGAACAATTTTCTATTTCTTATGCTCATATATCTTTTAAGAATACACCATTCCCACTCATCCCTCTTGACAAGAACCATATGTCCCTTATATACATGCCGTGCTTTAAAATATTAGTGAAGTAGAGAAATGCTAAAAGCACCAACAAACATCACCGAAGACCAATTCATGTTCTCAAGCATCACTGAAAGAGTAAGCGGCCAGAAAGCAAAGAACCAAAAGGGTATTAGGAATATCAGTGCTCCGATATTAATAGCCATTCCGTATTTTCCAAGAGACCATCTGTGATTGGGAATTGGCCCTTGCGTGCGTCTCCAAATAAGACAACTGATGATGATATAGTAAGACGAGAGAATAGAGACAACACCAAGAGAATTTATAGCGTTGAGCGCAAATGCGGAACCCAGGTTGATGAGAGATAGCAAGCAGCTCACAACAATCGATACGCATACTGCTCGAAGAGGAATGCTCCAACCTGAAATCTATTTTACAATTAGGATAACGTACACATACAAATGGCTAGAGAGTTATCGCCTCGGATAACCAGCCGGAAACAGGAAGACCCTGATCTCTAGCAAAAGACCAAATTTGTCGGGATGTTGTAGCTACCTCACTGACGCAACAAGATAGAAGTAAGATAATCAAAAGTGTGACCATGATGTTGGTAGCAGTGTAACTCTGAGTGGAGTTGTAAAATAGCTGGATAAATGGCTCTCCAGTTTTACTGTTGAGAATACTGTCTATGTCCCCGATACAAAAGATCAAGGCGAGGATCATGAAAAAGGTCATGGCAGCATTTGGTGCGATAGACCACATAATAGCTCTGTGAATTGCGATAGATGCATCTTGGATTTCTTCAGCTACAAAATTTAGGCGTTAGCATATTGATCAATGGTGTCTACTGGTCGATATTCAATATAACAGAAGGAATCGAATCTCTTACACATATGAATAGAGCAATCGAAACCAACCAACCAAAGCACCAAAAGGTACCGTCAAGCCAACTATAGCCGATAATCCTTTACTTGGCCAACCGCCTTCATTTGTGAAATCAAGTAAAACGTCCGAGGCGTGGCTGAGATTGGGGGTCAAAATCCAAAGAGGAATTGTAATTGCTAACATGCCGAAAACGTGCAAGACTAACATCACACTTTCAATCATAGGCAAATGCGAGGTGTTGGAGATGACGGAAAATGCGAGCACGGCAATTGTGAGCAAAGTGCCGTGGTAACTTTGACCTACATAATCCTCGACATTCAAAGCGATGAGACCTTGCTACAATACCGACGGATCAGCCATAGTTTGAAGTGGAGAGCTTTGGAGTAAACCCCAATAGCAATTCGTATGTGAATGAAGGGGGGAAAAGATGAATTGGATGCGGAAGTGTAAGATTGATTTGCGTGCAAAGATCGATTGTGCTTACGATAATTAGAGCGACCATGAAGCAAACTCCGGCCAAGTAAAGTTGCCATCCGATAGCAGAAAGCCAGCCTAAACATGGTTATCTTTTGATATACCTATTCTAAGAACTAAAAATGACTTACCGACGAGATAGCTAAGAAACTTTTGAATCTTAGGTGGCGCAAATTCCGACACCCAATGATATTGGCCTCCGGAAGTAGGCGATCTAACCATCAGCATATAAGCATGTAAATTCTATGTGATAGCCTACTCACATTGAAGCCATCTCGGCGATACTAGCGTATACCAAACTCATACCAAGAGTTCCAACAATAAAACCCCAGAACATATCGGCAGTCCCTCCATCTTCCAGAGAGTATGCGAATAATCTAGAATACAATTAGAAACCATCATCCTCATTCTATATGAAATAAAGATATCAGGTTTCTTAAGGAAGCAGTATTTCCCAACTTGCGATGGCGGTGCTTGATAATCCCAACATATTGATGAACTTAAAGTTTCGCTATGCCACAAATTAGTGATCTACTTGAGCACCATTGGATGAATAATGATAATTACGCGTAGTTCCTGCTTCTTTCCTAAGACAGCCATATCATGCTTGTCTGATTGAGTACCTCGCCATTTCTCCGCAACCTGTCCAGAAATGCCATCGATTCCCATCTTCTCCATATCTTGGCCATTAGATTCTGCAATGGGAGATTCCAAGGTAATAAGCTCACGGGTCACGAGCCTAGTGTTGGCTTCTTTGCTGATCGTGTAGGCCATGGTCGTTCTCAACTACTGAGAATTTATAGGCGAAGCCGAATTGGACGAGCCTTACTATATACTTCATGTAACGACTGCGGAGCAAGATGACAGAATCCGAAAATGAAAAGCACACCAACTTAATGTACGATTCAGATATCAGTACGATAAGAGTCTGGTGCAATATGAGGCTCTGTTGGCGCAAAAGCCGCTAGAAATAGACATAAAGATTATTAGATCTGTCAAAGTCCTATCGAAGCAAAGCAATCTGCAACATATGAGGTAATCATTTTCCTTCCGGATTATCATTGCATTCTCACACACCATCCTGAAATTCAACTCGATGACGAGTACAGGGCCAATTTGTTGCCAGATTCCGAACCGAGAGATCATGGTAAGACTACTTTCCTATCTTGTGGCTTTAGAAACGCAATGTTCGTTGTCTATCCTCTAACCAACTATTTAGAATGCATTGCACTAAGATGCGGCTTATGTGCTTGGAGAATTTATTGATGCTCTGCATATGTGTGGGGTTTCAATCCTCTGGAATGCCTCTGTCTGACACCCCTTGAGGATTTTCTCACTGGCTTGCTGGCTCAATAAATGACTATTCCATGTAGGTTTGTGTGACAGGACACTGATATGCACATTTGGAATTTTGCCTGCTGCGGTAAATATGCTTGAAGCATAAGTGAAACTGTAGAGGAATCCACATCTATCCCTCAATTCCCTGATAAGATTTAACTTGTCCTCCCCACAGATAGATAGTCATAGATTCAACTGATTGTGATCCTTGAAATTGATTCTTTAGGGAAAGCACCTTGCACCGGTCCTCAGAGATGTCTTCAGAAATATTTATTTCCCTTCAAATTATCCGGTAAACTTTCTCAGATAAAATCAGATGGTTGCCACCTTCTCGGTTGAAGTATTGAACCAAAGCTTTTTCGTACGCAAATAATTGTCGCGGGCTAAATTCATCAACTTCTCGAATCGATATTATAGGCTCGATATATTTACCGCCAGGAAGATACACGACAGCCAGGATCTCCATTCTGATAGATGAACAGCTTTCTGAGTTTCCATCCATCAATTTACTCATAAGACTCAAAGTACTGCCTCCTAATACATCCCAGCCATGGCAACTACAGATGCAGGCTCTAAGGCGGGACTCGAAACTTTCGAGGGGATTAACATTGATTATGAAAAGGCTTATCAAAACAACAAGTTCAAAATCGCCTGTGCTACAAAGGCCATCTCCATACTCCCTTCAGGATCGAAGGTCCTCGATGTTGGTTGTGGAACCGGAATTCCGGTTTCACAAATGTTATCTCAGGCCGGTCTAGACGTCGTCGGCTTCGACATTTCTCCTAAAATGGTGCAGCTTGCAGAAAGTAGAGTTAAGGGTAGCTTCTCCGTAGCCGACATGGCCGAGTACGAAGTTGAGGAGGAAACGTTTGCAGGGGTCTTCATGATCTTTGCCCATCTCCAGATGTCGTACGCTGCCGTTCATGCCGCAGTGTATAAATATGCCAGAGCGCTTCAACCTAGGGGAATCATCGTTCTGGGACAGTCGCCAGGAGATCACCATGTCAAAGAAGAGTCCGCATATGATGAAACTAGGACCTACGTTGAGGACTACAATGTCCCCTTCATGGGAGAGCCGTTGCCAACATTCTTGATGAGCGCGAAGGGCCAAAGAAGCTTTTTCCAATCGATGGGTCTGGAGATTGTGAGCGAAACAATTGACTTGTTCCAACCAGACAACCCAAGGTGCGATCCAGAAATGCAGCAGTATATTATTGCAAAGAGACCAGGTGATGGACCAATATCACAACCACTACCTCTTCCTAAGAGGACATAGTTGCAATTTATGTCATATCTACCCGTGATAGAATCGTAATACGATTCGAATCAAATATTGTTTCTACTGCCATGAGTGAATGAGCCATGAAATCAGAACTGATTGTGTTTTCTCAGAAAACTTGACATCCGCCGAGTTATTATTTAGGGTGTTTTCAGCCAAGAGTTTAGGTTTTGATAGCCCGATAAGCGAACCTCAAAAGTTAAATTTCCTTACAATTGCAGCATTAAGATTCGAAATGTCTATAAGCATATAAATTGAATGTTGTTTAGCTAATCTCTAGGTCCTAGATTCAAGTACACTTCCAACGCAACTATTGTTTCAACCAATTGCCGAATTGAATCAGTATTCAAACCCCATGTAGAAAATCGGTTTGTACCCTGCTTTCCGAGTCTATCATCGTACGATGTTTACATCCGGCTAAATTGCATCTGTGTCACAGTAGTACAATAGTGAGGGGTATGGATGGTTGGTGGGGTCAGGTTGTATTATCACATTGCTGTGCCTCAATCCACGTATGCAGGGAACGCGAAATCGGTGCAAATGATGCAGGGATTTGGACGCGACGTGGTTGTGAAGTAGTATTGACTGGTCATTCGATAGCTTTTGCAAGAATTGGGTTTTCATTGGGTAAGCTTCCTGGAAAACAGATGAATTGAATTGGTTTCTTTGTGAATTACATGATAGGTTATGAAATAATGGCTTCGTGACTAGCCGTTGCATCCTTGGGTATCTCCTCTCCATATAGTCTCTACAGATTTTCCGAAAAGAATCTCCATCGCGTCCTTAATTATATACAGAAGAAGTGAAAGTTGCCATAAAGACGGGGTGGCAAAATTTAAGTGGAATTGTGCTGCAGCTCACATCGTCTTTGAGCCCAAACACCGTTCATTATTCCCTACCACAGTTCATCCGGCTGATCATAATCGTATTTCCTTCTCGCAATTCTTTCTTCGGCCTGCCCTTCAAGATATCTCTTTTTGACAGACGCTGGCATTTCCGGTGGCACGTAAGGTTTAATGACCCATTTCTGATCCTCGTTATCTTGTCCGACTCGAGGTTTGTCGTATGGACTTATCTCTGGAGGCTGATAAGCCACCCGAGGTCCTTGTTTTTGACGCTCGATAGAAAGCTCTTCTTGAGCCTCTTGCAATTGTTGAATGTGCGGATTCCCGGCCTCTGTGGAGGTAAGTGATGGAATTCTTTGCAGGGGGTAATATGTAGGTGACATATGATTAGTTTGATGATATTCGCTAGGGCCTCGAGGATGACTTGGGGGATACGTTGGACTGAAACGATAACTATTAATTGAATTTTGACCTGGACTCATCGTATTCCCTTTGAGACCGCGTAGGCTTTTGAGACTAGATGCGAACGATAGAGGCGACTTTGGAGTGGTCGGAGGAGGTGGAAAATAAATGCCATTATTGCTGCTTTTGCTACTCTTTCGCCTTCGATCTTGAGAGTCTTCTTGATCCGGAAAAGTAAATGCAGTAGGGGAGCTGTTTGTTTGGAAGAACCGATTCGGCCGACGTCGAAATCCAACATGATGAGGGTATTGCTAGTGTGGTGGAGTTTCAAGGGCGCGTTGTCGTCGTCGTCTTGAGCGAATGAGGTAGATAGCTAATGCGGTACATATAAGAACGAATGGAATGGTCAGGGACAAGGCGAGGATAAGTCCCAGTTTGTGATCTTTCTTGTCCCCTTCTGCACTCGGTGTCGTTGAGGTTATATTGAAAGTATGCGAGACGATAGATTGACTGGTTGGTATGGTGACATTGCCGTTATCGTTGAGAGTCCCGGGCTCCTGCAAATTTGTCAGTATGCTCAATGTGGGTATATTCGATTAAGAATGTTAAATCAGAAAATTTCATGGAGTAGTAATATTACTTTATGCTTTCGCGCATTTTTTATCACTTAGCATCCTGAAACGCGTAAAGAGATATGTGGTACGAAAGATATGGTAGAAATATGAACATGTACAAAAACAAGACTTTTCTTTATACCCGCCCAGTGTATTCGCATGAAGCTTTTCATGGTCTGCCCTCACAAATGCTCCCGTGATACAATGCCCAAATGATAAAGATACCGATCTCATGTCTTAGAAAGATATTTTGGTATGCTTACAAGTAGTAGGTAAAACACAGGAGATAAAGATAATGAGAATGCATATGTCTGAACTGTCCAGTTCAGTGACGTATCTCCATCATAGAATTCTGTGATATCAGCATTAGTAAGAGGACAATGGTTGCAGCAACGAGGAAACAATCATCTTACCTAACAGGGCTGGACCTTTGGAATATCCATTTCCATCCGCGTTTTGATTCCACAGTGCGATTGTATAGTTTCTAAGACTCGTTTCCCATGATAACATTTGTTGAGTCCCAGTCACCCAGATCGGATTCTGAATCTCCTCTGCACTCGGATTGACGAATTCTCCAGGAGACGACATAGATGAGACTAGCAGCACCAGATCAATGAAGATGAGCCAACACAGCATTTCAATCTTGTGTCCACCGAATACAGTTTCACATATCGGGTTTATCGAAGCACTAAAGAAAGAACGTAAAAATATAGAATTTGGTCTGTGCTACCATACCAACCTATATATCAGATATATTAGAAAGAAGCGGATGATTTTCAATTGAACCTTGTGCATATTGATCTAGGTATACCTGAGACTTGGGGGCTTTTGATGCGAAAAGCAAAAAAGTTGCAGGTATTGTTGCGAGGATCGGCGGGATGACACCACGACACACAGCCTAATCAGTGCACTCAACCAAACTGTCGGGTCGTCCCCAAAGTTTATAACCCTCTCATTGGATGCGGATAAAGTAGCCATAAGCGCGCACTACTTCACTAAAGATTTATTGGGTGTGGACGGCCCCAGTATACTGAATGCATGAAAAGATAAAAAGCCTATCAGGATGGCCAAGGAGGAAGCAATGATTAGGGCTCGAAGAGCCGTTTTTCACTTGACCGGCAGTTTGCTGCGCCTAGATGAATAATTTGATTGGACGCGGGACACGGAAGGACATAAACATGTGAACAGATCTGCAAATCGTATTGAGAAAACATTCTGGGGGAAAGATCTAGGCGATCGCCGTTGTGGCAGCTCTCTTTGAATTCATTTGAAGAATAATTATTCATTCCATGACAAAACAAACAACATGATATACAAGAAGCACTCGATAACGATTATGTTCTTGCAGAGATAGTATATACAAAGCCTAGGCAGAGAATATCATCCAAGAACTAGGCCATGCTTTGTTAAGTAGATGCAGGTAGAATGAAAACATCACAACAAAAATGTAAAAGGCAAAGATGCAGAGGTGGCAGTTAGGAAGGTGGAAAATATCCAGCCCCTCGATAAGCCGATAGAATCACCAATAAGAAGTTTCAGTCAATTTAAATCCTTGTTGGTGTTGTTGTTGTTGTTGTTGGAGGAGATGTTGATCACATGCATCTCAAATTGACGGTGCCTTCCGTTCGCTTGGCACGAACCACCCACGGTCCCACTCACACTCCACCATGCTCCACCACACCCTCTCGTACCTCAGGTTTTGTCACGACATTTACAATCACATCCTATCCATTTCATTCGAATATTATAATGTAGGCAGACATCGACAAGCTACGGAAACTTGATTTTTGATGTCATAATGTGCCATGCACCATGTACCGTATCAAGAGACTATCTGCGGCCCGTCCTGTTGATAAGCACTTCAATTGCTCCGCTATATTAACCGTAAGCAAGGCTCATTTGAAATGTTAATGGAAGATACATCTGATGTCGAATAGTCATAGGATATCATCGGCCAAGGCTTTACCAAAGGGATAAATGAAATCTCCCAAGACCGTGGGTACCTATTGATCAGAAAATCTGAATCGGTGATTAATTTCTAACCGTATATGCCGAGGTGTTCGCTTCGATTCGCTTCAATGGTTTCCCCGTATTGCTCCCTGTTGATTCTTCCTTCCAGGCTTCTCATGAACCTTTGGGTCACATTGCATTATATCAATATTTGATATTGCAATTTTCTGCTTACTTGGATTGCGTACGCCTATTGACGCGCTTTCACCACGAGATCAATTGTGAACCTCCGAGGCCTCGCAATTGATGCGTCAATTGGACATGCGCCTTCAGCTGTTTCCTTACCCCTCTTCATTAGTTTCACGCTTTCTACATGAGGATGCGTACAGTCCAAAACAGCATCTGCTTCACCGAAACTTCAGATCTACTAGCAAGCGCAGTCATGAGCTTACCCTATAAATGTTGTGATACACAGATACAGCTTTATATTTATATGCGTCACAAGTGTGAATGGCACAACGCCATGGTAGCAGCAAGGAATAAAATCATCGTGATGAGATAAATAATCTCTCAGTCACACAATTGATGGATTACCTAAAGCTGAACACATCGACTTACCAATCAATCGCTGATATCGCATGGTTTCTGCGTAGTATCGAAACTCTACTTTCAGCCGCGCTCGAGTCTTTTCTGTTTATTCCCTTCAGTGACGTAGATATCCTTCTTTCACCAGGACCGCTTTTGGAAGACTATGAAACCATGAAAGCTCATACGTTGTTCTCATCTCATCTTTTCACTTTCACCGAAAAATGTAATTATGTGCAAACACAGCAAACACAAACCGCTTAATTATAATTCGAAACAAACTCGCTTCTCTAACAACAAACATAGTCCAGATGGCTTAGTGGTAGCGCACTAGGTTCTTCACATCCCCTCAAACGGGACCTCTGCTTAATGTCCGAAGACTCGTTTGCTTGATAACTCAGTTCGTCTGGTTTGGTTCCGGTCTCCGAACGCGCTACCTAGGAGAGATTGAATTTTTGCCATTTTATTCTCTATTTTTACCTGACGATATTTTTTGGACGTGATAATGCCAGTGAGAGAGGAAGAAAACGTCATGACAAAGAGATTAATCCGCCCAAAGTTCAACTGATTGGGTTTCTGGGCACATGGTGAATAGTCTCACTGGTAATGATCTCATTTTTTTTTTCAAGCAAATCGATATTTTTGCAATTTAAGCTAAGGATTGAAACTTCCATCAAAGTGAAAATTATTATGCGCCTCAATTCCACTAGTCTCTATCTTCTACCCCAACAACAATAGCTAAATATTCTCGAACTTCTTTCCTGACAGTTCCTAGGATAGTCAAATAGTAGAGTTGTTTCAACGACAAATGTTTTGATGATAGTAACGCATAATTCATGATAGAGCTTTGTGGTTAAGAAGTGTGTCGTTCAATACCTCAAATTTAGGCTCAGAGTTAAAATTGGTCCTTTTGTGAATTTCTAAGAGCAATGAATATAAATTTAAAACTCAATGTTGCAAATCACACGGTTTCAGGGTCATCAAGGTTAGAGCCCCAAAAATTTTGCAGTGCAATCAGCTCCAACAAGAGGCCCTGCGAATGAACTCTACTATGCTTTTGAATCACACTCAAGATATCAAACAATTGCTCCCCCGCCTCTCAACCACGCCCTAACCCATGCTCTGACCCCCTTATCCCCAACCCCTTTCATATCCACCCCTCTTCCTTTCAGGTCACCTCTCCTCACATCTTCCCAAATCCCACACGTTTCATCGTACCTCTTTCCACTCCACAGTTCCCACATACAAATCCCCAACGCATACAGATCATCTTCTTTGGTCGCTTTTCTATCCCTTCCTTTAATCCACTCATTTGCCCTGTTTGGAGAGACTATCCTGCCGTTGAGAACTGGTGTCCATTGTTCTTCTTTTCCATGATCGATTGAAGCTTGAGAAGAAGAAATCGAAATGAATAGAGAATCGTGGAAATTACTAAGTTTAACACTGACTTGATCGTTCGAATTTCCAGAAGCACAGAGCAGAAAATTTGAAAGATGAATATCGCCATGTACAATGCCTTTTTCATGTAACTCCGACACAACCTGACGCATTGATTCGGAAATCTTCTTCCGCTGGGTGGGCAAATACAAACGGGGAGTTAGAGGAATTTCTTGGGCAATTATGAGGCCGAGTGTGCCATTTTGGTAACAGTTGGTGTTTTCGGGAATGGAAACAGTGCCTTGAATAGTCACACCACATGAGCCAGCGGCAAGATGCATTTGTAGTTCATGAGGCGTAACACCTGATTTGTATAGGAGAGAGTGAGAATGGAAAAAGTGAAAGTTGTTCGTTAGAGTGGACGCAAAGGGAGTCGGGTTTATGAAGGGAGTAATGGTTTCGAGGGGATGGTTCGGAGGTGTCCAGTGCGATTCGGCTTGAGATGTTGCGTCCGAGACACTGGAATATTGAGATTGAGGTGGGTATTCTGTGGTCGTGAGTTTTGGCGAAGACTTATATGAAGTTGAATGTGAAGGGAGTTTGGGCTTGTACTCTATAAATGAGGAGGCTTCGTAATCGTAACTTTGAGGTTGCCATTGCGTGCTGATAATGTCACTTCGTGATGCTATGTTCGGAGCTCCTCGTTGATGTGGCGAAGAATCTGTGCTGTTCAGTATTTGAGATTGCCAAGATGCTGTGTTGTTATGTTGTTCCGCATTCTCCGCAGTCCTTTGATAAGCTGATGCATTGTAGCGATTATTCCACTCTCTTGACATCGATATCGGGTACATAGCGCTCAAGTTATTCCCAGTAGATATCGGGGTTCCGTTGCTTTGTACTGTGTTTATCCACGCTAAAAAGCCATAGTTTCCGTCCTTAGCGACTGTTGTTGAGGTAGGCGGCGGTGGAAACGATGTTAAGAGACTTGGAAGTCCCATGTTTGGATTAAGATCTCTCGAAAATGGTGGATGAGAATTGTAAGACGATGGAGCAGAGAGTTCTTGATATTCTTCACTCCTAGCCATCCCTTGCGGGGCCCAACCAGGCGGCGAAGAGCCTACAAATGAGTTGGAGGAATTCGCTAATTCTGAACAACCCAAATCTCCCCACATTTGAAGGTCTTCGTCCGAAATGAGGAGGTCTTCAAAATCGACTGTGTCATTATTGTGGTAATAAGGCTTGCTGTTGCTTGGCAAAGAAAAGGGGGTGATCCATATTTTGCTGTATTCACTCGCGTCAAGAAAGACTAGGGATCTGCTATAGGGAATCGGGCTTATGCTTTATGGTCTAGCTGGGCTTTAATGCATATATGAAGTCTTAGGGTTGGAGTTGCGACCAGAAATTTGACCTGAAAAGAAGAGTTTTTCTCTCTCTTTCTTTCCCTATTTCTCTTTTAGGTAGTAGTGGCGAGGTTCTTGTAGGCGTCTCGGAATCAAGATTACCATTACGCAAAGACCTATGATGGTCGTCGTGCGATATTTAGTTGTCATGCGAAAAAAGATCAGCGGAATGGTAGGAGTGAGATGATGACCAGAAAAAAGTGCTTATAGAAACTTTAATCGTGAATTACAATAGATTTTCTAGAATTGTGAGTGAGATTTCAGTTCAGACTTCGCCAGCTCGAGACCGATCAATGCACAATATGGCTCCACATAACATGGGAAGTCCGCAATTGTATTCACCTACGCCCTAATAATCCGAATTTCTTCTTTAGCTTCGAATTATCGCCCTAAAAACCTCATGGTATCGATTTGTACCCATCGCACGGCAAGATTTGAGCATACCTTGGGCATCAATCTTGACTCTGACAGGCATGCTCTTCATTGTGTTTGTTCTCCGTGGATGATGACCGAATTGGTATACGTAAAGAAACTTGGGCATGAATGTCAATGGAGCAAATCATAAATCATGAGAGGGCTAGTTTAAGAGTACATACAAATAGGATATCCGGGATCATGTTCCTGAAATACCGGGCCTCAGGAGGTCGTGAAAGTGAAAAGTTTTCAATGCTCGCGAAACAGCCACTTGGCTAGAATACTACAATTCTCACTATCACCACTTGATTGGGATTAGAGCTTTACAGTAAGGCAATTCACAAGATTTAATGAAGAATCATGCAGTTTAACTATTCGTAAAGAACTAGAACTGTCCATTTTATCTCCGATCTATATATCAAAATTGACCGTACTCCAAGCTCGTATCCTTTTCCCTCGCCAAAAAAAACTCCCATGTAAAGACCTGACCCATTTTATTTCAGAACGCCCCTCCTAGCCTGGCAATATGAAGGTATTCTACCCCTATTTTAATTCGTCCCATCTTCGCCTCTGTTCAACATGCTCCAGATCTGTCTTTACAACATTCTACTAAAGCTCGTAACTAGTTCAGCAACACAAACCCAAGAATAAAGAAAACAATCCAAGCCCCATTTCGTCTCAACCTACTAGCTGCCTGCTCAGAAGACCACAGAGGCGATTGACTCGTCTCAGTATACATGGCTCCCGAACTTGGAGGAGTGGATTTTTGGAGACAAAAGAGGACCTCGTGTAGGATGTCATCGAAATATGGGAGCGAGAGATCTTGCGTGCGACAGTAACATGCTGTGAAGTGGAAGATCTATTCGTGCATGGCTCCAAGAAGCTTATACCAAAGTAGGGATAAGTATTTGAGAAAGAAACTGACAAAGGAAATGAGATAAAACGAGTGCAATTCATGTGCTTAAACGATCGTAGCTTTGTGGTATTATTCGATGACCTGCAAGCATCGTTGCAGAAATTTTGTAAGTAAGTAAAGTTTAATGAGCGTGTGGAAAGTGTAGTGTGTGTATGAAGTTAGAAATGGTTTCAATGAAACACTATCCTATCACAAGCTGTTAGTGGATCTCATTTTGTGAACCAATACTGGACTACATATATTTTAGAACATACCAATGTCTTGATACCTTTGCTCGGCTTGTTTGAGATTCTCTAGAGCAATAGCATTGTAGACTGTTGTTCTGCCTTACGCTGGTGCAGCTGTGGCTTAATTTTTGAAATCCAAGATTGTATTGATCGTTGGGAATGGATGATAAACTTGAATAGCTTAAGGTATTGAGATACTTTGAACGAATAAAAGATCAATCGTAGCCCACCTTCGCCGAAACAGGCAGGATCTATTCTCGCATGATTCTCGATTGTCACATGTTCATCGTCGTAGATATGAGCTCACACTAGAATACACATTTCTTAGACGTTGGTTTAAGAAAGATGTGACGTTCGAGCTTGATGATGTGAGGAAAAGTTGGCAGATTCCAGCTTTCAAATATACGTAGCAGTAGATAGAGAAGATCTCTGAAGAACCATAGTCGGCCGCGAGAATGGCAATCGGCCTGGCTACGCATAATGAAACTTTCATGCCTTTCGTGTAAAATTCTAGGCCCCCTTCATTCTGAAAGCTCATCTGACTTTCTGCTCAGTCTGCGAAGTTTCAACAACCTTGATCCTTGAGAATGGTCAGAAATAAGGTGCAAAATTGGTCGTTATGGTCCAAATCCTTTCATATCGACATTCTTATTGTTTGAAACACCAACGATCAATTATTTATTAGAGATGTAAAGAAGCTTGCCTGCGATAACCCCATCGCCGACCCAATAACTCAAAACAAGACCGACACTTCAGCCCTATAATGAACTTTCAAGCATTGAGAGTGCACTTGGCCTCTTTGGGTTAGACCACAGTCGAACGCCACTATTGTTGGCAGCCACACTTGTACAGCGCGGGTAGGTAGGTCGGGTCGGATACCTAGGTAACCAACAACCTTGGAAATGTAAACGAGCAAACGTAACCGACACCGGGTTGTCTAAGCAAATGCGAACGCAGTCTCCTGCGAAGAGACAAACATATCAATTTTAATAAGGATTTGAATTGCGTCTCAAATCGGAGCTTTTTCCGTAAACAGGATTCGTCGCAGAAGGTTGAAAAGATCCAACCAGCTTTCAAAATGGATCTTCGAGATTCTGTCCATATCTTGGACCAGAAAACCAGAGATATGCATGGAGCACAGAGTCATTCCTCTCTGTAGACCCTCCGACAAAATGAGGACCTAAAGTAGAGAGGAGAAGTTGTTTGGATGCTTACAAGAGCCTCAATTCGACCTTGAGCATGACCCAAAAATCAAAATTGCTCGGGCGCGTGCGATAATGACTTTGCGCACTGTTAGCAGCTACTCGAGTACTGAGCACAAGATTGATTACGTTATCTATTAATGTCGGTCTGATGAACGACCAAAAACATCACGACCGTTGACTTGAGCGCTTGCCGTTTGTAGGCCGCGGTTATTATGTACTGTCCTGTACAAACATTCTTTTCACTAAAGAACTGGCCTAGTAGGTTACTTGGGTGGTTCGTAGTGTCTCTTTGAATTCATAAAAGTTTCTTGGGTGTACCTAGATCCAGTGATCTATCGGTCAATATGGTCAACAATTGAAGGCACAGCAATTGCACAGCATGGACATTCAAGTCCAACCAGAGATGGAGCAATGGATACTATGGTTTACCAACAGTCGTATATAGTGAGCAAGGTCTTCTAGTCCTCAAGCCATAAGCCAGGTTATCTATCTGCTCAAGTTGAAATCTAGCAGTGCAGAATTTCTTATCTGACAGATTTTCCTTTCGTCATTCATTTTTGTGTTTTTTAAAGAGTCACTCATTTGCACCGTCGCCACTACTTAGTGGAATTATCCTAATTTCACACCTTCAAAATGTCCGGCCGTGGAGCATGGAGACCCATGAGTATGTTTTTCAGAAGTCCTTGTAAAACTAAGATTGACCCTATTTCTCGCAGATCCAAAGAACATTACTGTTCGAGCTGCAGTATGGATTATTGGAGCCATCCCATTTTTACATTCTCGGGTAAGCCCACAGACTTTCCTTGCTTCTTGTCCGATATATCAATTCGTAGACCTGAGCTAATGTGTTGATGTTTAGCCATGTCGATTGCCGGATCTGCGACAACAACTCCAGGAATGCAGAATGTCTTCATCGGGCAAATCGCCAAGGTAGGCACTGATGGATCCAAAATCGGTGGATTAAGATTTGGTTACATGGGTTCGTGAAGATATCTTTCCTGGTTCTGCGAATATTCGTTAACAAGCTATTTAGGTATTTGTGCTTATGTGGGGGTGGAAGGAAGCAACGGAGATACGTTCAAGAACACAAACGGTTTCCAATGCATAGGCAAGCAGTATAGTCAGTCACCCGACGAAATTGCCGCAACACTTCATGTCGATTCAAATATCATACAGTTAGGACAGAAGTTACAGAACGACATATCTATTTTCATGCCTATGGTCGCACTATCTCTATTTCTCCTAGGATTCCTTGTTGACACTGGTGCATGGCTCCTTGCAGGTCTGGGAAAACCTGCTGGTAAAATCGGCCATGGTAGCCATGCCATTTCTGTGGGCATCTGTTGCTACCAGTCTTGGTGCAGCATATACGCTTACTGTCTCCGTTAATGCAATCAATACGGTACTTGGAGATACAGCTGTAGGATGTTCTGCAAACGTACAGATTGAACAAGGGAAAACGCTCGAGGGACTTCAGTGGGCTGCATTTGCCTTTGCTCTTCTCTTTTCATTCGGTATCTATATGGTCACCAGAGACACCATGTATGGATTTAATATTGCTCCTCGTGCCAGATCTCGTGGAAGAAGAATGAACGATGCGTACCCCGATGAGTATTCCGAAGAGGAGCGATCCTTAAGTTACGAGAGATAATCATAGCTGGCAAGTTGATGCTATCAACAATTATGTAGATCAAAATCTGGATATTACTGGTTGTAATATGAAACCACATATTGAAAGGGGGCACAGAAGCGTGATGTGGCGTTTACGAGATGTATAAATATTTCTGTTTGGGTGGGTGTTTTTACTTTATGTTTTTCTATTTCTGCTAGTCAGCTAGAACAATATAATTTAATTTGGTTTATGCTCTTGATTTTTAAAAAGAATTATTCTCCGACTTCGAATGATTCATAGTTCCATACTCTCCGATCATTTTTTCATATACGATTCGAGTTGTACGTTCATAGTTGGAATAACCGTATTTCATATTCAAATTCAATAAACCACTTATGTCTCACCGTGAGTTCAATTGACAGTTTGACGCCTTTGTAGTACTAAAAGAGGGCCACTGGTTGATGATGAGAGCTCGCTAGCGTGGTTTTTTTCTCACACTTGATTTGAATTCAAGGTTGACTTGCTCCTCGCAAATCTCAATATCAAATTTCATAGACATCAAATGTCTTGAGAATATTAGATTCCAGTGAATTTCTTGCATTTAACCTCCTTTTTGATTCGAGAACTCTCTACTAGGTACATACAGAATACTTATCAGCGAAAGGACTCTTGAAATAAGTATACAGAGCGGGCAAATCTGATCTGGTGTCTGATTCTCGCTCCTAAGGCTTGGATTACCGAGTGGGAAGTAATGGCCAACGGTTTGACTGCTCGTACTTGTTTCAACAAGTCTGAAAATCTCCTTCCGTTATGATTCTCAAATGCAATTTCTCACTGGAAAGAGCGAATTTCGTGAAAGTTAAACAATGCAAATGGCTATTCGATCTCGCCCTCTTCGTTTCTTCTGTTTTTCTTCCCTTTCGTCTTCATTCTGGATACAGCGAATTAATAATAATTAAATTTTACAGCCTTTTTTTAATAATAAAAAATCTTTATGTCGACTCCTATCGATATCCCTCTTACATTCTCCTGCCTGCGGGCTGCGTGGCATGCTATATGGCATGATGGAAAAACAATCTTGTTGGTGACGGGGTTCCTGAAGGATTTATCCTCGCCATCGCAACGAATATACACTTCAATCAGTGTAATTTCGGCCTCGTCATCAATCACCATCATCATGCGGATGGCCCAGCAGATCTTCCAACGGAGGAGAAGTGATAATAGCGTTTTGGCATGGCAGTGAGTAATGGCACGCATAGTTATCGGCCACTCTCTGACCTTCTTTCATAGGTGGCCCCGTCGTGGCACTAGCCTGTAAGACCAGCCAATCGACAAGTCCTCGTCGTTGAGTAGCACGGTACTCCGACGCAAATGGGCACTTGATTTCTAATGCCTCCGGTTCTCGGCGGTTGCATTCAACAAGAAATGGGCACTTGATTTCTATGGTCCTGTGTTCCTCTATTTGTCACAGTAATCGAATAGTTCTGTCGACGAGTGCTTGGGCAAGAAATGTATATATGAGTCCTACAGTTTTCAGCAGTTTTCTTTCTTGGTCCTCGTCTATAGTGGACCTTGTTTACAACAGCACTTCTTAGCACTTCTCAGCGGTTCTGCAAACTGCAAAGAATACTTCAATAAGGAGAGGACATTTGGGTTCTATTGTTCTGGGTTTCAGCAATTGTCTGGTGCTTGATTACGACAATCTTCCTCAAAGGCGCTGAAGGCTATAATAGTTTTGAAAGTGATGGAGAGTACTGCGACAGAAAATGGGCACTTGATCAGTATGACTCTAGCTTGCTCGTGCTTTGTATGATACAAGTGCGGAGCTTATTTGCTTTCGAGGGCCCTGCTGGATAGAGCATTTTAGTAAGGTGTTACTTGGAGATTGCTTGGGCTTCCATCGTTGAAGAATGAAGAGCGAATCGCCATAGACCGGTACCATGAACAACCTGTGGAAATAGAATCTCACGGCTCTACTTCTGATTGCTGTGGCTCACTTCGTCTGGGTTACCATTTTGAAATCATCATAAGTCTCATTAGGCTGATGCATGATAAATATTGGCAAAATCTCTTGACCTCGTGTTTCTCATAAGCCACACAGAGTTCGATAGTCTCTTTCTGGTATGGGAACAATCCACAACGACGAACCAAGCTGCGATACGAGCAAGCTGGAATTCGATCATCACATTAATATGGCCGGAAGAGAGAAAGTAACTGACTGATTGGAGATGCTGGCCTGGTGTGCCCCTTGCAAAATTTCGTTGGCAGCAACTGAAATGAATTCTTTCAAGCCTATGTTACAGGGAACGATTCCTGGAAAGTACACAACTACGAAAAATTTAATCTCTCACTTTTTGACACTCTCGTCACAATTGGTAGGAATCTAGGAGTGGAAACCATTTTAAATTGAAGATATTACTACGTGGCCTCCAAAACTTGATCTCAAATGACCTGGTACGAGAGCTTAAACACCTCGCATCCCCTTGATGGCGACCTTGCTATCAAAGCTGAAGAAAATTGTGGACTCGATGTTCTTCTTCGATCCAACAAGTACTTTTAATTCTGGAAGACTCTCGCCATACTTTTTCAATCGGCGGGAAGCTTCATTGATAACTCGGTGGAGGTCCGCTGGCTCCACGGTGCATGTCATTTGCCTTTCTTTTATCAATTTTTCAAATTGCTCGATGATGGACCATTTTCGTTGAATTTGGTAGAAGCTGCTGACGACGACAAATGTGACAGTCAAAAGTAGAATCTTATTGTTGAGGCAGCTGGGACAAACTTTGAAGATCGAGAAGGCCATGGTGATAGTTCGGAACGTGGGTTGATGGAGGTCTGAGTTCTTGAGGATGTTGATTGAGGGGGCGATGAGAGTCCGAATCTCGAAAATGTTGGTTGAGACAGTGATGAATGGATAACAAGTACGAATTTCTGAGTTATTTATATCTGTGGGGGATTTAACTTTCGAACTAAGGAAGACTTGTGCGAAGTTAGTTAAAAATTGGAGTTGTGACGAGTATCACATGACATAGTGATTAGTTCAAGGCTAGCTTGAACTAAGCGATTGTTATTAGGTACCTATATAAGAGATAAAGAGATCCCTTAAGGATCTCTTTCCTCTTTAGCTATCTTATTCTAGTTGTTTGACCTCTATCGATATGCTCTAGTATGTGATCGTAACAAGAGTTAGTGCTACCAGAAAACCTTTCATACTATAAGTGACATATTGTCTTACTATTATAAACTAGATAGAAGTTAGAATAGATAAGTAGATTTAGGCTTAAAATGAATAAAACAGAAAATTTGCTCTCATTCTCATACCTTATCATGTAACTCTTTTGGCTGTAAGTCGGGGCTGTTTCATTATTCTTGCAAGAAACGAATGATTCCCATATACCAATGTCCAGAAGAACAACGCCCAGGCTATAGATATCATGCTGCATAATATAGCTTTTTTCGGGACTCGGGCCTTGGCGAAGCGGATAATGGTAGAGGTTTATGTCCCATGCAGAGTTTCTTGATCGCCGTGTTGAACCATCTACCATGCGAAAGTTTTGAAAATCTACCAGCAAAATTGAGCCAAGAGCCGAGTTGTTGTCTTGGAATTCAAGGATAGTATCAGAGCGGATGTTATTGTGTACGGATTCAAGAGTGTGAATATAGCTGATAGACTTGACTAACTGGTTTACGATTCTGAATCGGTCCGTAAGAGTATGGCTAATCTGTGATGAGAGATAATCGCGAAGACTTTTGGGCTCATTATTGAGCTCTTGAGGGACTCGGAAGATAAACTCAAAAGAAGATGGCTTCCTATTGCCGAGTTTTATGACCCGAATTACACCTTGACACTGAAGTATGCCTAGGCCTGATAGATCTGTACAAGAAAGCTTTCTCGCCAGCTCTCTAACATCTTGCATTTGTAAATTGACATCGCCATCGGGATCGCATGGGACTGAGTCTATCAAAACCCATTTTCCAGATTCACTTCTTTGGGCAACCTTGGCAGATGCAAATAGTATATCGCGTACTGTTGAATAATTCAGACCAGCCTTTGACGTGATCAGGGGCTAAAGAGGAGGGTACAAACACAGAATCATTTTATAACTTGGCTCTTCTCTCTTCATAGTTTACAATATCAATTGAAACTATTCGGTTCCTAGAACTTTTTCGATACCTTCACTCCGTGACATTACATCTCATTGTTTATTTCCCTACTACGGAGAATACAACTTAATATTTCTGAAGATGGTTTCTTGCTCTCCCTGATGTAAGCTATAGCGAATACTTGACCAAAGAAGGGTACATATAGCCAAAAGAGGTATATGGTAATGTATGAGAATGAGAGTAAATTTTCTGTTCTATTTATTCTAAATCTAAATCTATTTATTCTGATTTCTATTTAGTTTATACAATAGTGAGATATATAATGCTACCTATAATGTGGAAGATTTTCTGGTAGTACTAACTTTAAATATTAGTTCACTTCGCATAAGTCTGCCTTAGTATTATGCAAAGCACAAGTAAGCTAGAGTCATACCGAAAATCTGTCCCTCAATTACTGTTTGTGACACTCTATAGATTTTGAGGGATCCCAAGACAAGATTCGGATTCTTCGAACGTGCAACAGGTATTCAGATAATGAAAGTGTGTCTGACTCTCATCGTTTCAGCTCCTAATATGTCAAGAGGCTGTATGTCCAGGAGAAGTCCATGCGTTGAGGTACATTCATGATGTGCATAACATTCCTGTCGTAGAGTTATATTGACGTATGAATATTTGCAATGAGAGTAAAGCCTTTTGAAAGCTAACGACTGTGATTCTTGGCTAGCACAAGGTTCACGCACTATTGGACTACTCCTCACTTGACAAATGTTTGCATCAACTATAGTGAGTCTGAATCAAACATCACGCATCTCCAAGTTTGCTATTCAAGTATATTCGAAAACCATGCATTAATTTATTCTAAAGCACTACCAAATTGTATGTTTGTGACAGAAGCCTGGGCTATCCCAAGATTCGGTGCACTGAGCGCCACAGTT